GGCTAATGAATTTACCAACAACGGTCTCTACGATGATACTATATTCATCTACCAACCAGACAGCCACAACTGCAACATCAAAGTAACACATGCGGCAAAACGGCATCAGCATTACACGCCAAATGCAGCACGGCCACCAGTGATATCATGGTCTGGGCCCTTCTCGACTTGGTCCCTTTGCCATGTGCCCCATTCTCACGCATGCAGCGTCCCAGTCCGGTGGGAGAGAGGTGTGTGTGAGTGACCAACCAACTCTAGACAGACGCCGCTGCTTACTTACACGGGGAGGTTTACGTACAGAACTCATGGCTGTGATGAAACGCCGTGATGTGTGATGGGTGGTGGAACAGGTTAGACTGAATGGACAGATCAACGCCCTTTACTTTATTGCTCCCTCAACTTGCGCCGGATTCACCATGCTACCAAACACCTCGCATGTATACGGAGTACTCGTATCCAATGCCCTTTGCCCAGTGCCCCGGAATAGATACACACATACCACTCGCGCATAAAGCGCATAAACGCCGTCTCCTTATTGCTTCGCCCGCCCCGAGCCCATCTTGCCTCCTACCCAACCTTCTCCGAGTCGCCAAATTGTCAGAACTAACCGCCTGTAGTATGTATTTTCCTCACCCTTTTCTATTTTCCCCCCACTTCTTTTCTTCCGTCTCGATGCTTTATGCATGTCCAATAATCAAGGAGATTGCAGGAATCAGGGGATACCGCAGAGGTAACATCGCACTTGTTCCACTGCCCACCCTCTAGACCCATCCAGGTGCCAGTTGTCCACTCACTTTCAGTTCTTGTTGTTGTATACGCTGCCGTCGACGTAATTGACCAGCTCCCTTACTGGATCGAGATGCTCGTGCCCCGCTCCAAAATCGATCCCCTTCCTCATCACTCGCCTGTAGTTCGCTCCGGGGCTGACCTTTCCTAGCACATAACCTCGCCTCGTTTCGACCCGAGACGGAACCGGGATGCTTCGACCAACCACAGCCTCCATCCCCTGCCACGCAAAAGTAATGGCCTCCTTTGCGTCTGCCGGAATGCCCGCCTCGTCCAGCATGACGAACTTGGTCTCCGGAAACGACTCCTTAAGATGGTCGAGAATGTTTGGGTTCTTAGCTCCACCTCCGCACATGTACACCTCGGCCAACGGCCCGTATTGCGTTGGCATATATCGTCTGTAGTGTTCAACAATGGCCTGTGCGGTGATTCTGGTGATCGTAGCCACGATATCATTAGCTGACATGCCCGCCGCAATGCCACGCTCAATAAGCTCGTGCGCAATAGTGTCGCGGAAGACCTCTCTGCCTGTCGTCTTGGGCGGCTCGAGAGCAAAGTAAAAATGTGTCGTGAGAAATTCGTCCACCATCTCCTGGTTCACCTTGCCGAGTTTGCCCATCTCGCCATCCTTGTCATACTCCCGCTCTCCATTGGTAAAGTAACGCACCGCAGCGTCGATGAAGACATTACCTGGGCCGGTGTCAAAGTCAAAGAATTCATCATTTAGTTGGCTGTTGGAATCCGGAGGGATAAAGCACACGTTGGCAATGCCACCGATATTCTGGCACGCCCTGAGCTTTGTCGGATGGTGGAGAACCAAGGAGTCGAAAAAGGCAATCAGGGGGGCGCCCTGTCGACCAGCCGCTTGGTCTGACACCCGGAAATCCGTCACGGTTGTGATGCCGGTAAGCGATGCAATAAACGTTCCTTCGGCCATGGTGAGGGCAGACTGCTTGTGTCCGTCCTGGGGCATGCTCTCCAGCCAGATGGTCTGCCCGTGCGATCCGACCACATCGATAGACGACAATGGGACACCGTGTTTTTCTCCAAAGGCCTTGACCGCATCTGCAAACGTTTCTCCGAGAATGACATTGACCTCCGATAGCTCCTGTGGCGTTGTCGTGTTGTGAAGAATCATGTTCATGACTCTCTTCTTGATCTTTGGCTCAAGGGGGATCTCATCATACTTGAGCAGCTCAAAGTGCATAGGCTCGTCAGGAGACGCCTGCCTGAATCGGCAGAGAGCGCAGTCAATTCCATCCATTGACGTGCCCGAATTCAGCCCAAGGACGGTCATGTCGAGCGGCGATTCCCCGCCATAGATGACACCATTGGCGGAACCCATGTTGATCTGTCTGATATCTCCAAGTATAACGAAAAAGAGCTGCGTTGGAATCTGTGTAAGATGAAGTAGATGAAGAGCGAATTCTGCCCAAAGAGAAAGAAGTGCCCAACCAAACCTTTGGCCCGGATCAAAGAGAGAGTCGGCTAGTCTTTATTGCACTATAAACGACTTAGAACCGAGTCATTCACCCAGCCTTTAGGAGCAACGAATCCAGGAGACACCCCCAATATAATCACAGGCTGCTAAACGACATAATTTTTGAAGGCCACAGACCAACTGTGTGCGCGAGATGTGCCCGATGAGACCAAAGATACACCCCCCCTTCACTGCAAACGGCCCTCCGTCAAAACGCTTCGCACGGCTAAACGGCCGCTTCCCAAAACCGACCGGCCAGAAATCGCCACCCCCCATGCATAAATCTTTTTAAACGTTTAGGCACCGCTTTAGCCGGCATAGACTTCGATTCAACGTTTCCGTCGGCGCGTCCCCCGCCTGGAGCCTCACCCTGGGAAGAACAAAGAGTTTATTCCGGGACAACGCGTATCGTATCTGGGGAGGGGTCCCATCTTGGGCTCCGTTACGGAACTAACGCACGTCTAGGACACGCTCTTCGCCAAGGCTAGAAGGAACAGACGGCCATCTTTTTTTGGTTCTGACGGACCACACGGCTGAGAGCACAGTGGGAAACGGAGCGAAGTGTGTTGTTGGTTCGAGCTGTTGGCTCATCACAAACGACGTAGCACTCGCTTCGATTTCTATCACCAAGAACCTTGGGGAGAGCTGGAGTGACAGGTGACAGGCCCGTATCAGACGTTCGTCCTCTTGGCCCATGGGGTCAGAGAGACCGCCTTTTTCGAATTCCCTCTTTAAGCGCCCCCAAATTCCTCCCGTGCCCGATTTTTTTTTTATTCCTTTTTATACCCCTTGATTTAGTGTCCAAGCTTGAGTCCAGATCGTCAACCACATTTGCCTCCGGCCGGTTGTTAATTAATTAAAGACACTACACAAACGACTAGCACGAAGCAGTTGCCGCTTCGATGGCGGGTCTACAGATTTGGCGCCATGTCCCGGGCAAGGTGCTGCTGTTTCTCATCAATCTGGTCGCGGCAACGGCCCTGATTTTCGAAGGTAAGGAGGGTTTTTTCTTGCTTGCTTGGGCGCGCGCCGAGCCGAACTTCCCCATCCGAGTCTAGTTCTAGGCCTTTCGCGGTATCCAGTGCTAACGAGATCTCGCTCCAAAGGCTATAATCAGGGTGTCCTTGGGACCGTTAGCGCCACGCCAGGCTTCATCAAGATGGCAGATATCGGCCACGATGGGGTCGTAACCAACACCACTAAACAAGGCGGGCTTGCCGCAGCTTATTATTTCGGGGGGATGTGGGGATGCTTCATCGGTGGTACGATTACAACCCTCAGGAGAGAAGAACTTTTGTCAAAAGTCGAGGAGAGAGAGAGATAGGGCAAGCGGAAGGGATTGCGGCGTGGACGGACGTGTGCTAATTTCACGAAACAACATAGGATGGGTTGGTGACAAGATAGGACGCAAAGGCGGCGTCCTCGTGGGCACCGCCTTCGGAATCCTCGGTGCGGCATTGATGGCCGGCAGCCAGAATGCCAGCATGTTCATCTGTGCGCGTGTCATTGCCGGCATTGGCATTGGCTTCATGAATGCCATCATCCTGCCATGGGTCAGCGAGCTATCCCAGTCCCACGACCGAGGCTCCAGCTTCTCCCTGGTCTTCGTCGCCAACTACCTGGGCATCGTCATTGCTTACTGGATCAATTTCGGCATCCGCAACTCCAACCTGGAATTCCGCTGGCGATTCCCTCTGGCATGGATGATTATCCCGCTCCTGGTCGTTGACGTGGCAGTGCCGCTGCTACCTGAGTCTCCTCGGTCAGTTCATCCCCCTCCACCTCTATCTTCAATATACGCCCCCCTCTCCACTCTCCTCCACTCTCTCTTCCTCCCGTCCCGTCCCCGCAGTTTGCCGTCTACTATCTGTATAAGTACGCTGCTAACGGCTACCCGCAGATGGCTCATTGCCAATGGCCAGCGTCAGGAAGCCATTGATATCCTCTGCAAGCTTCGAGGAGACCTGAGTCCCGAAGACCCCGTCATTGCCTCCGAGGTCGAACAGCTCGATGCCATTGTCGAGGCAACGCACCACAAGCGCAATGACCTCGCCAACATTGTCCTAGGCGGCCGCTTCTCTGGAAAGCTGCATCTTGGCCGGCGGGCCGTCCTCGGATTTGCCCTGCAGTGGATCCAGCAATGGACCGGCATTCTCGCCATCGTTGGTTGGGCCGGCGTCTTGTTTGAGCTGGCTGGGTTTGATCCCTACAAGGCCCTTTGGCTTGCCGGCCTGGCCAACACCTTTGGCGTCCCTGGTACCGCAGCTGCAGCCTTTGTCATTGACCGAATGGGGCGCGTAAAGTCATTAATCACCTCATTCATCATTCAGGGAGTGTGTCTGTTCTTGGTCGGCGCCCTCATCAAGACTTCGCAAGATCATGCCATCTCGGATCCGGAACTATCGCAGCGCCTGGGAACTGCCGCAGCAAGTTTCGTCTTCATTTATGTCTGGTAAGTATATATCTGAGATATCCTCCTTTTTCCTATTTTCCAGTTTTCCTCCAATCCTCCTTGATATCAAATGTACAACGTAGGAGATATTAATTATTACTATACAGGTTCTTCACCATGTTCAACATCATTCCCTGCTGGATCTATGGCACCGAGATCTGGCCCCAAGAGGTCCGTGCCAAGGGGTACAGCTTCACCATTTTCGGCTGGGCCACAGGATGTGGCTCCACCACTCTCATCATGCCAATCTTCCTCAGCAGAGTCGGCTATGGCACCTATCTCTTTTTTGGCGCAATGAACGTTGTTGTTGCCCCCATAGTTTGGTTTTTCTACCCCGAGCTTGCCAACCGAACTCTGGAAGAGATTTCACTTCTCTTCACAAGCGACAGTATGCTAGCATCTGAGAACGTGAAGGAATATCATCGTCGCGTGGGCGAAGCGGGAGGTAACATTGCAATTGCAGCCAGGCAGTTGTTGGATGAGGTTGACGGTAAGGACTCGGAACGCGGCACGGAACCCGGGAGCCCTGATGAAAAGAGGGTCGAGGCCAATGCCGACGCTGTTATGTAAATTTGTTGACAGAATTAGCCCTTTGTTTTGGAACGCAGTATCATAGCCGGAATAGTACGCCTCATGCTTATGAACCATAAAGAAGCTTTCCTTTTCCTCATGTAAACACTCCACCAAAATCGAAATTCCATGTTAGATCACCTAACAAATCCGGAGGCACCAAGAACGACCAATCACCAGTCATCTCCGTGCCAACCTGCTCATAATTTTGGCCACCACCTCTCGAGCTGTCGACCGGCACCACTTGCTGCACCGTAGTATTCACTGGAGTATCCTCGAGAGGCGGCCTTGACTGTTGGCGCTGGGCTGCCATGTACTCGTCAATGCGGGATACCTGAGATCGAAGCTTCTCGCTGGCACTCGAGCTGCGGTGTATCGTCTCGAGGTTTTCAAGAAGCCTTGCCATGGACAACATGACAGATCTCACCCGATTGTACTCCGCTTCGCTGAGAGGTTCTTCAAAAACGGAACCCAAGATGGCGCCAATTCCACCCAGATGATGCAGCAGCGGTTTGCTTATAGTCAAGCAATATTGCACCGGAATGGAGCTGAAAGCATCCACCACGTCAGAGGCAATCTCGCAGCGCTCTGCGATGCTTGCGCCTCCGGCCGCGAATAGTGTAATGCGAAGAAGTTGGAGGCTGGCGGTGATGTTGGCTGCCTGGAATCCAAAGAGATCTTGCTTCTGGTTAAATGCCATGGCTGGCGTGTTCTTGAAGCATTCGGGAAGGTTCAAGTACATGCGGAGTACCTTGTCACGAACGGATTGCCCAGTCACTGTTGACTGGTCGTCAATGATCTCGGACATGAAGGATCTCCTGCGATCGCGAAATCGTGCCAGAGCATGCTCCAACACTCTGTATAGGTCAGTGATGAAATTCCAGCCGGACAACCAGCAATCAGACTGTGCAGTGAGGACGAGGCGAGCAATGGGAGGGCTTAGTCCACTAGGGGAGAGGCCTGGTCGTGCAATGCCTCCGTCGCTGATGTATTGGTCATCCACCTCTGCTGGGTAAGCTACATTGGCCTGCTGTTCTCGAGAACGGATAACACCACCCCAAACCACGGATGTGAAGATGTCCAGGGTATAAATGGACCAAAACTGTTTCGGAAAAGTAACGGATTAGTTGGTGTAAGTGGTAAGGGGAAAGGGTCAAAAGCTGATAGTCTCACCATTCTTCTTCTCTCCTCTCTCTCAATAATACCAATACCGGATGGCCAATTTACCTCGTCATGGAGTCCATCCATGGCCATGAATGTGTGATAGATGCCAAGGTGATGATGCATGTCTCGGATTTTTCCGTTTTGAATAGCCGTAATGGCCATTATAGCGTGACCACGGAGGATATTAAAGTCTGAGTTATCAAGGCCATTGTCCAGCAACTGCCTCTTGGCCTCTGCATAAAAGGTGTCTGGCAACGTCTCCCTCTGGAGGGCCTGGACGTCCCATCGCGGATTCATAACGGACCCATCACGGACTCGGCCGCCCACCAGAGCACACACGGCCATAGTGGTGGCAAAGAGCGACTGGTTAGTGTTGTATTCCGCCCTCGAGATCTTGCGAGTGAAGGAGGGCTGATGGAAGAAGGGGAAGATAGGATAGACGATCTCAAAGTAGAGCTCAACGAGGTCAACGACAGTCGCCTGGCTGACAATGTAGGGAGCCCGCCAGGCTGACTGGGACTGTGGTGAGCTATTGGCATTAGGGCCCGGCTGCTGAATCTCGGGTATTATCCGCAAGTCGCCCTGAGATGGCGATCTCGACGACTCTAGATCTGGCAATCCCTCCACCACATGTCGATTGGCCGACGGTCCCCCACTGCCGTTCCGCGCAGGAACCCCCCGTCTCTTCGGCTGGCGATGATAAGTGCAAACTTGCGCAAAATCCTTGCAGTTTTGGCAAGACGAGGAGATGCCTGGGGATGAGCCGGAACCCTCCGCTGGACGGCATCTGATCGAACGCCTGTGGCAATAATCACAGGCTCTTGAGATGCGGCGCTGCTTAGGTTTGGAGATCTCGCGAGGGGATGCTTGATCCGCCATGTTCAGACGCGTTGTGGGTTCCGTCTGTGTCCAGGAGAGAGCCTCGGATGCCTAAACGGCTGAACCCCCCCAGCCCGCTCGAAGCAGCGAGTCGAGCTAGCGCAAAGCTATAGCGTCTGTATCTGCAGAGACGGCGAAAGCGAAAGTGAGACAACCGTGTGCTGAAGGTGTCGTCTGTGGCTTTGCCTTTGCAATGGCGATGGCGGCTGTACCGCGGCCTGTAGATCACAGTCGAAAGCCGGCAAGGAGAAGGAAGCTGAGAAGGCACGACCACGTCGCAGATGCAGGGTCCGATGAGAAAGAGGACAGTGCGAAACTCGAGTATGGGGGTGAAAAGACACAGTACGGCAATTGAGTATTTACCCGTATCACGACGTCGCAATGCAATTGCAGGGTTCCGGACTCCTACTGCAACCTCACCGGCCTTTGGAGTATTTTTTGTCGCGCCAGGAATGACATGATTGGTATGAAATTGTTGGAAGGGAAACTCAATTGCGACAATGGCAGATGCTAGAAGAAGTAGCAATAGTAGCAGGTACTAGAAAGAAATAGCAATAGTAGCAGATGCTAGAATACAGTAGCGATAGTAGCAGGTACTAGAACAAGGTGGTACCCAGTAGTAGCATGGAAATCAATTTTATTTTATGTCTTGAACCTCCTAATTCCCGGCCTGGGGATACATCCATGTCTCTATATATGCAACCGTCCACCAAAAACTCCTTCATCGTTGAATACACAACATATAATTAATATCAGTTCATTAGCGTTTCAATTCCTTCATCCTGCCGTAGTATTGGCACTCTGAGCATGTCAATGGAACTTGAACGAGGCAACAGAGGTGAGGTAAGCTTAGAAGCGGAGTTGTGTCTTCAAGCGCGCCAAAGGTACAGGTACCCGTTGACATGCTGAGACAATGTACCGCCGTGCCGACTTCCTTATCCCTGGGCCTCCTCTCTTTGGTACCTGGCACAATGCGATGCATGCCATCTTAGCAGGCACTCCCAGGTACACGCGACCTAGGGGCTGCTACTAGACACTCAATGCCCACTGCATGTACCGCGACATCAGCGTTCGAAATCTTAGGCAGCCTGACCCCGCTCAACCTCAAATAGCTGTGGTAAAAGTTCCCCCAAGCTCTGCTCCAGGTTTCGCCACTTGACTCCCAGAACTTTATCCGTCTCGGCCGTGCTGACGCCAAAGTGCGTGTGCGACTCCCGCTTTCCGGGTTCGCCGATCGGGATTCTGTCGCCGTACTTGGGGAACAATCGCCGGCTCACGTCTGCCAGCTCCTGGTTGCAGTAGATGCCGCTGGCGAGGAGATAGCGACCGCCGCCGGCCTCGACAACTCGGAGGGCTTTGACGTGAGCATCAGCAACGTCGCGGACATCGACCCAGACGGGACCTCTTGTCGGCGGCAGGGTGTTGTCACGGCCAGCAGACACCGCGGCCCAAACCAGCAGGTTGCTCGTGTTGACGCCGGCAATAGACTTGGGCTTTGCCTCTGGCAAGAATGGGCCAAAGACCATACCGGGACACAGACTGACAAGATCAAACCCGAGCGGCCTACTTTCCATAAACTTCCAGGCGGCCTTCTCCGCTGCCGTCTTGCTCGCGCGATATGCCGCAGGCGCGTTGTCTGCCTGTACTCCGTCTTCGTACGTCAATGGACTCCAATCCTGAGCTGTGTAAGTCTTTCCGGGGCTTGGACCGGCCGCGGCGTCGTATATCGAGGCGAAGCTGTTTGTGTGAATGATTCTCCGGATACTCTTGATCTGAGCCGCAGCCTCCAGGATAGCCGTTGATCCTTGCACCGCGGGGATCATCATGTCTCGTTCAAAGTTTGTTGCATTGTAGTGAAAGGGCGCAGCAAGGTGAAGGACCGCTACCGGTGATAGGGGCCCAAGAATGTTGAGATAGCTTTGTGCGTTTGTGATATCCTCGATGACGACGACGTCCAGCCTGGGATGTCTCTGGTGTGAATTCTTTACTGCATCGACCTTGGCCGCGCTCCTGACGGTGCCGACAACATGATAGCCCTCTTCGAGAAGGGCAGCAACACAATGTTGCGCAATGAAGCCGTTGGCGCCGGTGACGACGACCAGCGCCGGCGGCTCAATGGCAGACACAAGTAATGAGGGCATTTTGTTAACCCAAGAGGATGGAAATGTGATCCAGTGATACTTCAGGAGCTCAAGAAGAAAACAGACGGAAAAGATGAAATCGTCTTTCTATCAGCTCAGGTGCTCAATGGCCTCAACGTCAAAACACAAAGGGAGGACGACGTTATTTATTCAACGGTCTCCAGAGTATCTGTCATGAGATTGTCGTGTCAGCAATTGTCCATGAGGGGAAAGAGTAGTGGCCACAAACGCCCAGACCAGCGGAGTATCATTGCAGGCTCATGACCGCATTCTCGTGGGCGCTTTCCCGACGGCAAGACGAGTCCGGTGTTGCACGCCGCTTGATGTTCTTTGACGAATCCACGAGAGGGCGAGAGGGCTTGATGGAGCGATAGATCAGCGCTGGATCCCCAGATTGTCGGGCGACTCCGACTGGCAAAGCAAAAGACGGTGCTGGATAGCGTCCCAGCCCGACCCCTGCAGCCGTCGCAAAGCTCTCTTCTCGAACGAGCTTGTGCGTCTTTCCAAGAAGCCTCCGGTGTGGGGCAGTGAGGAGGAAAAGCCGGCATCCGGCCCCGGTGACCTCGCCGAGCGGACCGGTGTAGGACATGACATGCAGCCTTGTCGAGAGGAATGTGGGTTAAATGTGTGCTGTGTTTGAGTCTTCTGAATGGTCACCGATCATCCAATATTACACTCGTGCTTGTGTGACTGTGCACATGCCACAAAGTATAGGGTATTAGTCCTTTTCTCAAGTTCCACCCACAACCTCTTGTGGCATCTGGAATTAAGCCATTTGCTGATCGAATCTGTTCAAAGTTAGGATGGTCCGGATAGCTGTCAAATTCGTTCCTAAATGCCCATATCTAGGAAGCAGCTATTCAGAGCCGCGTCGACCGTGGAATTCATCCGTCGGAACAGGATGCGAAAGACAGGCTTTTGTCTACCTACAGATGATGCATACAACCTACTTGGTAGTAGATACCTGGTTCCTTGATCACATGTACGGATATCTACTTCTGACATTACTTTCTGCTACTATCGATACCTTTTCCTAGTGTCCGCTATCATCACTGCTTTCTTCTAGTGTCTGCAACTAGAGTATAGCTGTATGCTTCTGGTATCTGGCATTGATATTCAGCTTGAAATTCGAGACACGGACTGCTGGCATATCTGGGTGCTGATTAGCCGCTTCTATTAGTTCCCAGCTTACACTTGCTAAATGGACCGGCTGGGGATGTTGTACGACTTCGTGCTTTCTAGCGTCCTGTCGACTAATCAATCCCCCGCACAAAGGTGTATCACCATATTTGTCTTCGCCAAACACTAGCAACAAAAGAACCTATGGATTCAACTATCGTTCCAGAGGACTTTCTCCGCTTGAATTCACATGAAATGGCAAAGAAGAGTCATCATTATCAGTCGACACCGCCCATTTTCCGAGCGGGTGGCGCTCTTGGCCATATGCATTCCCTCGGCCTCGACCTGACTGGCGACGCCACAGCTGAGGAGTCTCACCGAATGAGAGAGTTGGAGAAGCCAAAAAGCGAACGTGATTCAACACACGGAGAATACATCTGAACTACGGTGTTAGCACTTATGCCTTTGTAACTAAAAATACACGAGGGCGCAAGAGGCAACGATGTGCGGCAACTTGCAGCCATCGTGTTGCTCCGCAGAGATGCTGCGACGACATAACAAAAGCAGAGAATCCGAGTGGGATGGCATCCAGCACAGCACTGGACATGTCATGGCCGTCGCAACTCTAAAATATCTACCGCGCCGCGGAGTTGCAGCAGCGCTGATGAAACGCTTTTTGCATTGCATGACATCTTTATGGAGTATGAAGGAAGGCATCACATTCCATCAACATGCATCTCACTTACCTTCCGATGCCACCCTAGAGTCAGCCAATAACGAACGATAGACACATATAGCATGTCATCTCCTTTCCCTGGCAGAAATGACACGAGGCAGCATACTTTGGTGCATCTACTTCGTGCTCTGTCCATTCATACGAAGCGTACCGGCTATACTACAGGGTACGAAGGGCATGTAAGCGACATAGGCGATATTCAGAGAAGAGGCAGTTAACAAAGCATTGGACATGGGAAAGACGCCAGCCGACATATCAAATATTGTACTGCTGATTTGAGCACCAAGTATCGTCGCAGGAAGTGGCCAATGATAGCCATGTGCCTACAAGTCTTGGTCGTAGTATCACGTATGATACAAAACAACATGAAGACAAGCCCCTAGCCCATCTCCCCTCTGAGAATGACGGGCTATGATTCGACGCATTGTTTCGGCTGAGGTTTCAGTCGAGCTATTCCTAGAAAGCTCATGTACTCCGTATCCGCGGCCCATATCGAGCGACCAGGGTCAGCCATGTTTGCTATCGCATATCAACTTGTGGCTTCTTCGATGGAGCAAATCCGTGGCCCAAGGCCATTGACTTGTGCGGATTATGGAGCAGCGCGATCAAATCATGAGACCAGTCTCGATCCGCCTGCCCATCTCCCGCTCCTGGCGATTCGCACTTCCGTCTGGCGGCCGAGATACGGCTCCTCTGGCTCTATCCGCGGGTGGATGATGGCGCTGACACTACTTCGCCATCTCCACAGCTTACCCGTTGCTACATGTATCCACTGCCGCTTCGAGAGCCGACACGTTTGACAATGAGCTTTGGCTGTACAGTACGAATAGCAGTGTTGGATATTCCCAAGATGTGTGATATAATTTTGCTCAAGGTGTAATCCGTACAACTGATTTGGCTGGTCCATATCTCACTTGATAGCATTGCGTCTGTAGATAATTTTGCGGGGAAGTAAGAGTCAAGCTGCAGCATCGGTCAGAACCCTGGAGGCATTACCCCTATATGGTGAGAGTCGAGACGGTGTCGTCGGTTTGCTTCTAGGATAACATCGAGGCCGAAAAGAATGGATTGTATAATGATACACACGTTGCCATAACTAACTAAAAACTAGGTATATAAAATAACAGGCTGCCTCTAAGGTATTTAATTTGCTTCATCTTGTAACCCGTAGATAAAAAGAGCCACTTCGAAATTTTATTCACACACAGACAAAAGAGAGAATAATAAAACACACAGCTCGGAAAGCATCCAGGCTTCCCCCCAGCGTGCGCGCTTTAGTATACATATTGAAAGGTAGGGTTTGTAAGATCCGTCTGCTCATCGTCGACGGCCTTGGCATCAACCTCACCTCGCTTGATGGCCTCCAGCTCCGCTTTGCGTGCCGCAGCCGTCTTAGCATTGCGAACGCCGTAGAGGACTCTCAGCAGAATGGTAACCAGGATGGATCCACCAGCGACGCCGAGAACGGTGATCTTCGCGGGCAGGTACTTGGGCTTATCCTTGTCCTGGAAGGTCTGCGGGCCGATGATGTTGGCGATGGAGAAGGCAATGGCGATGATAACGTTGACGGTAACCTTTTTCGTGTATCCCTGCGTGTTGGCACCGACCAGAGCGTAGATGAGGGCCAGGGGGGCCACGTCGAAGTTGATGAGGTAGACACCGGCGAGGGCACCGGCGTTGGACTTTGCAAAGGACATCAATCCAGCGCCAATGATGGTGGGGATCAGGAGTCCAATGATGCTCAGCCAGCGAGGCAGGTTGTAGTAGATCACGTATGTTCCGGCCAGAGTCGCAAAGATGGAGATGGCACCGGCGGGCATGTTGAGCAGAGCCGACTTCTTGGGGGTGAGGAAGATGGAGTTGATGATGGTGGCCGAGAAGGTGGTGATGATACCGGAGGGGATGACAATCAGGATGGTGTTGACAAACAGCAGCCACACCTGGAGATCCTTGAGGGCGTCCAAGATACCAGACATTTTGAAAACCTTCTTGCCAGTACCAGCCTGGTCGCGGGCCAAGGCCTCCTCGATCAGGGCCTTCTCGTCCTCGGTCAGGAAGTTCGCATCACTGATACCGCTGGGCATGAAGAAGATGACAGCCAGGGCAACGCACAGGTTGAAGGCACCGACGGAGACAAACATGATGCGCCAGCTCTGGAAAGACGAAGTCGTCGAGCCGTGCTGAGCCGCCCACGAAATCAATCCTCCCATGACCTGTCCGGCACCCAGACCGCAGTACCAGATACCAGTACGCAGAGTAGCCTGCTTCTTGTTGTACCACTGAGACGTGATCATGATGAGGGAGGGTGTAATGACAGCCTCAAACATGCCCAGCAGCGTCCTCACGGCAGCGGCACCAGCAAAGTTCTGCGTCGCAGCCGTGCAGCACACGACGATTCCCCAGAGCAGCACGTTGAATCCGAGCACCTTGGACACGGGGAACTTTTGGATCAGGTAGCCCTGGGGAAACTCAGCGACGGCGTAGCCGATGAAGAAGGCCGTGGCCATCCAGGAGAAGTCGTTGCCGACAAAGTGGAGGTTCTTGGCGATGCCCATGATGTTGGCGTAGTTGACGATGACCTTGTCGAGGAACTGCAGGAAGTAGCAGAAGAACATGAGCGGCACGAGCCTCATGTCAATCTTCCGGTAGATGCGCTTGAGCTGGTCGGTCTTGGCCAGAGGGTCGTCCAGGGACGAGCCGTGGCTCGAGGTCACTGGCGAAGTAACCTTTTCATCCATCGTGAAGTAATGTTTTTTTGTTATTTTTCTGTTTTTCTTTGGGGGTAGCAAGATGATTCGAATATCGAAATCAGGGAAGGGAGAGGATCGAAATAAAAAGAGTCCAAATCAACAATAACACGTAATTACGTTCAAGCAATAAAACATGAAAACAAAAAGATATTAAAAAGAAGAATTTGCGTGTGACTCAGTTCATTAGTTTATAAATAAAAAACCAAGAAAGCCACAAGAGGGAGAGCGAAGGGTCATGAATCAATGGCTTAAAACATCAACGCATGAAGTTTCCACCGGCGAGGCAAAAGCTGAAGAAAACGACCCGGAGCCTCATACATATATCAAACATTGGCTTCCGCACCAGCTAAGAAAGGAACGGGAAAATAAAAAAACGTACGATCCCCTTTTCCCTGCTTGCTCGGCCTTGCTATTCGCTCGCTGCAGCTACACCCTTCACCTTGTTCGCTTTTAGTGTTCTCGGCCGTTCGTTTGCATGGCGCGTCGGTTCGTCCATTCCTGCTTGCGTCCTAATACGATGTAACCTTGGCGGACTTGAGCAAGGCTAATACAGACAGGTACCCCATTCGCCTCTTTTTTCTTCTTTTTCTCTGTGTGTCTCTTTCTCACTATCTACTATTGTTTTTTCCCTGTAATAAACACTAAGCTCTAATCGATGAAGCGAATATTACATCGGCTGAATCACCTCAAAGCGGGAGCTGTCAAGGATGTCTTTGAGATTGCAAAATGCACCAAAGCGACGAGAGAGTTCATGCTGGGGGGGGCCGCAGCGAGGGCATGAACTCACTCACACCCATGTTAGAAAGAAAAAAATAAAATAAAATAAAAGTGGCTATGATATTCCTCGTTAAGCCTCTTTGATCAGCCTGGCATCTTGCAGCACTAAACAGGCCTCAGGATTTCCAATGGGGAAGGCCAGTACAAGGGAGGCCCCGACTGGAATCCGCATCCGAAACCCTTCACTTCAGTCTCTCTGCCCTCGGAAGATTTTGATTCGATGAGCCCATGGAGATTGGAGTGGGCCGTGGTACTTCTAGGATCTCAGCTCGGAATCTCGAAGCATCAATCACTTTCCCATCGAGATTTGGGTTGGGCAATGCCGGCTGTTGGGAGGGCGGCCTACAGTGCAAAAGGGTATGTTACTTTTCCCTTTGTTTACATCATGTCCTTTCTCATGTGAAGATCATGCCCGTTTCTGCAAACCACCTTCGTATCGCCGTCCCGATGCGACTATCGAACGAGCGTCTTTTTCATTTCCCCAGACGCATTGATGCCGATATTTCCTCGCCGTTACAGTACGTGGAGTCCGCACGTCCCCCTTGTGCGTACAAAAACCGTTCGTCTTCGATACGATAGAGCAATCTCCAAGCTGCCGTCAGCTCAGGCCAATGCATTCCCTCGATATCATCAGCAGCCTAACTCTGTTACGCCTAACGCGATCCTGCCTGTCTTGGTCCCGGATATTAAAGAAGAAAGAAGCAAAATAAGGAATAAAGCAGACAAAACACAGCGGCCAGCCAAAACACCTCGAAATCTCACCCTTCGCCTCCTCCCACCCAAGACACAAAATCTGCGGCCGTCGGAAACCCCTGTTCTGCCGCGCTTCCTCCCGCGGATGATCCGGACGCTCGGGTCGCTTCCGAGCCCTGATGGCCCCCCCAAAATACCAAACCAAGTCGGGCATGAGAGGCGAAATCCAACCTCCATAAAAACGGAGGGCCGAAAAAGATGGACCTACAGTAGTACGATCCGCTGAATGCTACACCAAATACCCTTTAGTGCAGAAAACCAAACATTCAAATCCTAGTGGCATTGGCGTTAACGCCGAGAAGAGAGAGAAGAAGCAAATGGGAGCCGTTTTGTCTTACCCCTTCGTGCTTCAATTCATCACACGACATACGAGAACCAAGATGCGGGACCTAAAACATCGTGAAACCAACCGTCCTGAGAATCAGGAGGCATCCTAAAACGTACTGCAGCCCAACAAGGAAGAATAAAAACACAAAACACCAGCCAAACTTCACTTCACTCAGTATCATATAAATTGCCTGCATACGAGCATCGGGAGGCGCAGCCAGACCGAATCGATAACCGACGGCACATCAATTTACATCGGCTAGACACCGAGAAATGAACAAACCAACGGCCCGTGATTAATCAAATCTCTACCCCCCAGCCATTGCCCAAGCATAAAAGTAATCAAAAGACGTCTTTGAAAGCACAATGCAAAAATTGTGCCTTAACCGAAGACTATTGCATCGCCTCTCTCCCCTACTTCTACTTCCGTAATGCCGCGCTTCTTTTGTCTCCGCCGGCTTACTGCTTGCTTGTACATGCTTCTGCTTGGATCCTTGAAAGCTGTCAGATAAGGATGCGCCGCCGACCGCCGTCGTAAACCCGCGCATCTAAGAAAAAAAAGGCGTCCGGTCCATTCCACCCTAACCGCGAGATGATAGAGTGCTGACGCGGAGCCCATCCTCGGCAAGCAAGTTGAGAAGGGGAAGAAAATGTAACTGCGCAGCCAACACATTAGTAGGTAGGTAGTATGCAGAAAGCGTAATACATACAAATGCATCGTCGCTATTAGTAACGGTGCTGGCTTCACCTGCTGGGCCTTCCGACGGCTGCGACATCCGTCAAACCTCCAAATAGCTACGATCTTCACGTTTTCACGAGCTACACGGCTTGCTCCGACGGCCGTGATGGCCAACTGGCCCGTGTGGCTGGTGGCTTCCGACCAGCGGTGACGCCTCCTCAACGATGGAAGAGCTGCAGATGCGTGTATAAGACATGCTGGACCAACATGCCTTTGCATGAAGTGTGTGAGGGCTCAAACAATAGACGTTTATTATTGGGCAAGCAGATGCTATTCCCAGTCGATTCGATTCTTCATTCATATTCGCGTGACCATAAGCTCAACGTATAATCCATCTATAATACTACCCACCTTTTCCTTCATTGTCCCCCATTGGTCGACTCTCAGTTTCTCGTCTGAGGCATCTATACCAGGAAGAGACGTAAAACGTTATAAAGTCTCAAGGAGTTTGACATAGAATCCTCGTCATGTCCGCCGCAGCCAAAAGTCCACCAACCTCCTCCCTCAGCATAGCCATCGTCGGCTCCGGCCTGGGCGGTCTCTCCGCCGCCATTGCCCTCCGGCGTGCTGGCCACCAAGTCACCATCTATGAACGATATGACTTTGGCGGAGAAGTCGGCGCATCGCTGTCGCTCGCCTCCAATGGCTCGCGGTTCCTGCACGAATGGGAAGTGGACATTCCGGCCGCTAAGCCCGTCATTCTGCGGAACCTCGTCATGCACGATTGGTCGTCGGGAGAGATTTCCGGCCAGTATCCACTGGGAGACTATCGTGAGCGGTTTGGAACGGACTACAACAATTTCCACAGAATTGATCTCCATAAGCACCTAAAAGATGTTGCCACTGCCGAAGCGGGCCAGGGCCCTCCGGCACAGCTAAAAGTGTGGCATAAAGCGATCAAGCTAGATCCCGCCGAGGGCAGAATAACATTTGAAAACGACAACGAGGTTGTTCATGATGTTGTCGTTTGTGCGGATGGAATTCGAAGTCAAATGCGAGAGCAGCTTGGCATCACTCCGCAGGTCACGCCATCCACCTCATGTTGCTATCGGTGCATTATAAGCACAAAAAAACTCCGCGAGTTGGGCCTCGGTGAATTCGCTGATAACAGTGCTATTGAGTTCTGGGGCGGAAAAGGCATCAATAAGATTGTCATGAGCCCTTGCTCCAACCATGAGGTCGTCAGCTGCTATTGCTTCTACCCGGCTGAGAAGAACGATCTCAAGGAGGATGGCTGGAACATCTCGTCCACGGGCGAGAATCTGGCAGCAACATTCCCTGATCTGGATGAGAGACTCCGGCTCCTGTTTCTAAATGCAGAGGACATCAAGATGTGGCGTCTTTACAATCACGAGCCCTACCCATATTGGGTAAATGGTCGCTGCTGCCTCCTCGGTGACGCAGCTCATCCCATGATGCCTGATCAGTCTCAAGGCGCTTGCATGGCCCTGGAGGATGCTGGAGCGCTTGGTATCCTCTTCTCGGAGAAGTATGCACATCTCTCAATACCAGAGAAGCTTCAAATGTACGAGCTTGAGCGCAGACCGCGAGCTACGCGAGTGCAAGAAAGCAGCCGGCGAGCCAGAACGGATATAACAGAACGCATCGGTTGGAGCAGTGCCAACGACCGGCCAGGGAAGCTGACCATTGAGGAGGTGTGTGGGTACGATATGCATTCTCATGTGGCTGAGCTAGAAGAGAAACTCGCCAATCCCGTATCAACCCCCTGGTAGACGTGCAACAGTTGCCGCTGCTACGGTGTTGTTGCTGTACTTGCTCTTGCTGCCGATGTAATGCTAGTGGTGGCAGCCTCTCTGATTCGGCTGTCGGTGCGGGTCGGTAAACTGTGTTAGCAAGGAATGGGAGAACCATATCCAGCTAAACGATTGGGCCAAGACGTGCTCGTTTTTTCTCTTCAGCAACAAAATCAAGGCAGACTGTGCTTAGAAAACAGCTAGTCCATGCATCTCCTCGTACCTGATGCGTGCCCAGTTGACAATAGTGCCCGTGCCTTCAGTTTGATCTCTCATCCTCCAGACTCGTTCCACTAGCTCTCGAGCATTGTAAATGTACCCGAAGCCACAGGTGCGCTCCATAACAAGGAGGCGGTCCTGAATGACAACACGCTGCTCCATAGTCCAGCATGCACCCCCAGCCATGACCAAGGGGTACATGAGACAGGGCTCCAAGGGGCTGCCATAGCGGATCTTTTGTACCGACTCCAAGATGCCCTCGACGTTGGTGACCACTCTGGCATCGTTCAAGTCGTACCCCTCCACAATCTGGTGGAGGCGGAGCCTAATGGCAAACTCGTAGGCCATAGTTGCGTGCAATACATCGTCATTGTTGGTCACATTGGCGGACCAAGCGGCTCGTGGCAAGCCGCCGTATTCATATGACCAGTGGTTGATGCGTTCTTCGATTTGCATGGCTTCCTTGCGAAAGGCAGCTTCTGAAGCGCGATCAACGCGGGTTTTCCGCTTGTCAGCAAGCGAGTTGACTACGTCGACTAGATGAAATAGCTCCTTGGGGATGCCGTAAATTGCCGAGTCTTCATCATCGGGGGAGGCCGTCAGCCGATCCAGCGTAGCTGCCTCCCGCTCATCTTCACCCATGAGCGGGGGCTTGCACGTCGACGTCGTAGCAGCAGAATCGAGGAACCGGGCAAGCCGCACGAGAAACTTGTTATGGCCATTCATACGATCGCCCTGCTGCTGATTCATCAATGCCGTCAACAGCCTCTTGGCGCCCTTCAGATGGAGCTGCCACCCTTCGCTGGTGCCATCAAACAGCTCCGTCATACACAGGAGTAGGCTGCTAACAAGGGCGATGTCGGCGTTGGATCTATCCACGTGAGGCAGGAGCCTAGCCAGAGCCTGCGTCGCTTTGCTTTGGTGGTATATACCCCTGTCTGCTAGTTGAGGTTGCAATTTGCGCCAGTGGTTCGCAGAAAGGGCCAGGATGCAGTGCATGACCAGATCATTGGAGCGAGCAATGGGGAGCAAGTAGCCGTTGTAGGGATTATTGGTGGACATGCGGCGAGACAGTAGAGACGACACAATGGTCATGTAGTGGTTGAGTAAAGCCCTATCGTGGGACGAAGTCAACTGCGGCAGCAACTGCGGGTTATAGATAGATAGTGACGACAGGGACGTCATGGGCGATACAGTGAGGGAGTCGTGGGAGTCCGATTGAGGGCTGTCGTAGCTTATTGGTGTTATTGACTCGTGCCAACCCACTGGGGACGAGCCATGCTGATCCCAGGCAGATGTGTCGGCCGGGATTTCGATTAAATCATTGGTAGACGCTGTCGGCGGCATGCCTCCAAAGTGGTGATCCAGCGAGTAGTGGCTGATGCTGGCACTGCTGGAGCTGCTGCTGCTGGAAGAACTCAAGGCCGGACTGTTACCGCCTCGAATGATGAGCTCAGTGGTGGTCCCGTCGGTCATACCATCGACAGCCACGGACTCCGTGATGGGAATATCTCTGGAAGCCACAGTCTCGGCGGACATGGATGCCGGTGCACCCACAGTCACGGCAGCGGCTGCGGTCTTGTCCTTGGGACGCTCGGCGGGCCACGCGCAGTCGAGGCACAGGCGCCTGCAGTCGCCGCATCGTGGCTTCGTCTCGTCGCATTTCTTCTTGCGGCGTTTGCACATGAGGCACCCCGTCTGCACTCTGCGGATGCGTGCTTTGGGTAGGTCGCCCACCTGCTGGTTGGCCGAGCTGCTGGAGTCGCGTGGGCGACAGGGAAGGCTCAGGCGCAGACACCGCGCACATGGCACGCTGCCATCGCAGGCCTGCTTGATCTGGGCACAGCGATGGCATACGGGACGGCTGTCGGAGCCCATGGCTATGATGTGGGATGGATGTTGCGTTTCTGTCTTGCCTTGGCTTGTCCTGTGTTGCGGTTTTCTCTCTCTTTCTCTTCCCCTGTCTCTCTTTTTCCTTTTCCTCCTCTTCTCTCTCACACAACTCTCTCTCTCACCAGCAAATCCAGGCCTTTGTCCGCGCACGGTTTCCTCGACACACACTCACAAGATTCTCCCAACTGCGCGTTTCAACAGGTTGGTGGTGGTAATACAGTTGGCCGAGCCTCCAGGCCCCAGTTTTTGCCGCCTCGAAATCACTCGTCTGCCCGTGCAAAGCGGGTATGGCTTAAGGAGGCTTTTCTTAGATGGAGCGGGCGCGGCAATAATGCAAGAGTCGTCTTCAAAACCTCTCGATTCCCACTGCTGTTCATGGCGAGGTCGAGCGTCAATAGGATCAAAGGGTTTGTCGAAGACGGGGGCGTAGATGCAAATGGGGGGGGAAGCCCTTTCGGCGAAGCAAAGTTGGTTGGTTCTACAAAAGCGGTAGTATCAAGAGGGAAACCGAGCAGGACTCGGGAATACTTGTACGGGACGGGGCGGACCCCGGTAGATAATGGCACAGGTACAGTTACTTGCGCATCCTGGTGGTGCCGATCTGGCTGCAGCGGGGGTCTGTCTTGGGGCCCCCAATGGATCCTGGATCTTTGCTGGTAGCGCTACGGGGCAGGATGTAGCGTCCAACGCCAGTGCAGCCTGTGGACTCGGCTCGTGTACGCAAGTACCGGTACGAGTACGCGCACTCCAGATGTCGATGCTTGCGACACTTGGACCTGTCAGCCGGCAGGCGTAGGTACTGCCTTGTTTGCGTCGTTTAGCGAGTGAGAGCATGCAAAGGTGCTAGCAGGGCCGCCAGAAACCCCGACATGCCCCTGTAAGCACCAGGCCAAACACGGTCGATGGAAGCACTGGATTCCATGACTGGAATGTACGAGTAACAGCAGTGGCAGAGCAGAGGTGCTAGGCTAGGTTTGCTGCCGTCATCTGAGGACAGGTTGACGAGAACCTGAAGATTGCCCGTCATTGGGAAGACGGTTAACTACACTAGTATATACAAAGCATAGCGGAGAGGGGTGGGGAGATCGGTCAATAGGGATCAATGCCGCCATCGCCGTCTCCGAAGCAAGAGACATGCTCCATTTGGTGCTATACTTAAGACAATTCGATATACTCGTACTGCGCTGGTCCAATCTATTTTGATAGAGCTAGGTGCTGTAATTACTAACGTGCCACTCACCTGTTCGTACTACGGCCTTGTGTAGTACTAAGGTAATTACTGTACGAGTCTTGGGTATATCTTGACGGGACATCAATTCAGTTCCATGCGTCTGCCGTCTTTCGCCCCTACGAGCACCTACCTAATAGATCATAGAGGTATTCGCATGAAGCGATCTGGTGTTAAAGGGATTAGTCTAGGTACTCCAGACTCCATACTCCGTACTCGTACATGTACGGTAAAAGCAAAGGAGGGGGGGCCAAGTAAGCACACATGGATGTTTACCGTGGCTGTCTCGCAAACATGCTGATCCCGTCGATTCGGGACTGGCACTTGGTGACTGCGATGCGATGCGATGCGATGCGGAAGTTCCTGTAATGCACGCACCTCTTTTTAGCCAGCATGCACCACACATTAGCTGCTGTACGGCAGGTTGATTTATAAGGATGGAACACTTGGCTTCTGTACCAGTACATCTCCAGACTCTCGTAAATTTTCGTGTGTCCCGCCGGGGAGAATCCAGGAAGGGGCCGCCTCGAGCTACTACTGGCCGGCCCCATTGCGCCGTTTCGTTTTCTCCCAGCGTTTTGGAATTGGATCAATGGATCCCTTTGCCGACCAGAATCCGCCCATCCTTTTCTTCCCATCCGTGTATCCTACATATGCCGACCTGGGTATTGGTACCTGTACGAGCAGCTCAGCACTTCAGGTTCGCTCTGCTCTACCACACTTACTCGCTAATCAGAAGCCACAGGCCGCCGGCGCTGCAGAATTCGGGGGCCTAAGATGCAGATCCCTCTGCTCGCCCCTCAGCACCATCTGCGGGTTTCAAAGCAAAAGGCCTCGACAGCTGCAACTCACTAGGCGGAGCACTGATCATGATCCATTCTGTGCGGTGCCGCAGTTGACACTTGATGTGCTGTTGGTGTGCATACAGCCGGGAATCCATCCCGTCAGCTCCATCGTCGGCCAACTTTTCGCTCCTCCTCGCAGCACACAATCATACCGTACCTGCACGAGCACATCCGGGACTGGACATAACGCCCTTTCTCCTCTCTGCAGCCATCCAGCAGCCAGCGGCGCCCCTCGCTAAAGAGCTAAAGGGAGGCGGTCATCCTTCCTCGCCTTATCTCCATGCCCTCACTGCATCGCCGCATGATGCGCCACGCCAAAGCAAGACAAACGCCAGTTGCTACGCCCGAAAGGGGACGCACTAGATCCCCGATATCCCAGCTAGACTGCATTGTTGCAATTGGCCAAGACCCTAGTCAGGACCGGCACCAGAGATTTGAGAGGCGGGGACGGGCTTGATTGCTTGACTAGCAGCAACGCATCTCGAGACGATAGGCGGCGGCAACTGGGACTGAGACAAGCATATCTGGGTTAATGCATCATATCCATACTGTGTCGTTCTCGTACGAGCACCGTTGCTGTGGGCGAGAAAGAGGGGGCTCGTGAGAAAAGGGTTGACCTCCATGGGCTCTGCAGTTCCTGACGCTAGGCCGCGAGCGACAAACGAAACGCGCAGCAAAGGAGCATGAACCGGTCGGCTCTCGTGGCGTCAACCTCCAATACGGGCCTTGCCGAACTGTCAAGAAGTATATCGGGGTGGCATGAATCGTGCTCCCGTTTTGACTGAACCAACATGCGCAAGTCACCAACGTAACAACGCTCAACACGGCAATGATAGTCCATCACCTCGCAGCGTTCGTCGACCACTGCAGATGAGCATCGCACACCTGGTACCTGTACCTGTCATACTCGCGCTCTCTGCCCATGATTGCGCCTGTACGGGGTACTTGAACGAATCAACGCGGCCCGCATGTACTAATACCCTAGCTGGCCAATCCACTGGAAGGAAAAAAAGAACGGAGAGGAAAGAAGAGAAAACTCTGAACCCTTGCTCGGCTCATCTCGCTCCGGCATGGGATAGGATCCTACCCTACTCCTAGTGGGGAGTGGATTCTTTGGCTGAGATGACTTGATTCGAAGGATGGCCTGCTCACAAGCAAGGGTCGCATTCGCACGGTTTTTAATTATTAATGTTGGCCTGCAATGCAAAACGAACATGGACACTGCTACTGCGTTACACCGGTTTTGGTGGTACGAGGGCCGGCATAAGCACCCAATTTGGCTCTCTTTCTGGCACATGTCAGGTCAGAGCTTGGCCCGATGAAACCGGTTTCTGCACGAAGAGAGAAACATTGGGATCCGAGGGGTGTGAGTGCGAATCCAGTGTGTGTGTGCGTGCGTGTGAGCGTGAATGCATACGGTACCTGCGCTACCAGAACAAGCGGCATGTCACATTCATATGTTTGGACCTCGGCGGAGCAGACAGCGATGGCTTCTGTCCCATCGGTGCCAATGCAACGCAACGACAACTAGGGAGAGGGAGAGTAACGGTACATTCAACGTGCATGTGCAGTATTACGCATGCTTTCTTGCTAGAAGTGCCCGGGTATGTCTTTTACCCATGTTGGGTTGACGATCGGCAATACTTTGTAATCGTCAGTGGTCAAGAGGAGAGAGAGAGCCTAGTCTGGATAGGTCATGTCTAATTCTTTTTTTCATCATCATGATATGTACATTTGGGCGGATCGCTTGCTCTTGGAAAGAGACGTGGGAGGAACAATAACCAACGGGGAAAAGGCAAACAAACGAGGGCCGGCACAGCGAATCGCACGGGATGCATCGTCAGTTTCCACTCAACAGCTCCATCATGGCCAACGCGCCGGGAGAATCCTGCCAAGCAGTAGCTGTGTTTGTACTCGTACAGCAGCACCAGTACCGAGTTGAAATGGCTGCGTCCCAGCCCTCCCTCACGAGTCAGAGTGAGCCATCCGGAGCTCCCTGGCGGTGCTGTCAATGAACTCTCTCCCTTGCCACAGCGCCTCGTCCATGTGCATGAATGGGTGCGGGACACCGGGGAAGCGCCGTTGCGTTACCTCGACCCCATTCTCGACCAGCACCTGTGCGTATTTCTCGCCCTCGTCCCGCAGCGGATCGGCCGAGGCAGTGTAGATGAGCGTGCGAGCCAGGCCCTTGAAGTTTGGTGCCTTGAGCAGGTTGTTCTGCCAGCCGATTCGCTCCTTGGCGGCCTTGTGCGCCTCAGGCTCCGTGGGCAGTGTCGATAACTTCAGCTTGTCGAACCACGCCAGCCGGGCCCAGTTGAGTGTCGGTGCGAACTCGTTTTCCTGCATCGATGGCCAGGGTGAGTCGGCGGCCGTGGCATATTGTGAGATGTCGTCGACGACGGGTGTACCCGCAGCCACCAGCCGCAGCGGGATGCCGGCGTCGCGAGCCAGATGCGCCACGGCCAGGGCGATGAAGCCGCCTGCTGACACGCCGCCCACCGAGATGCTGTCCGGGCGGATGTTGAACCTGGCTGCGCCCTGCGTGTGGACATGCTCGACGGCGGCGAAACTGTCTGTGACGCCTGTGGGATAAGCAAACTCGGGCACCAGGCGATAGGCCACGTCAATGACGGCCACGCCGGCCTTTTTGCAATAGTGCTTGCAAATGTGACTCTCCGTATCCAGGTCCCCCAGTCCCCAGCCGCCGCCGTGGAAGTCCAGATGCACCGGCCATGGGCCTGAAGTCTCGGGCTCGTAGACGCGCACGGCCAGCTGCGTCCCATCGGCAAGGGGGATCACGTCGTCGTAGACACGCCCAACCTCCGGAGCCGGAGCCGTTCCATAGCTGTAGAGCAGCGAGTAGTTGCCTCGCAGCGCTCCCAGATCAATTGGCTTGAGCGGCTTGGTCGCGACGTTGTCGTTGTAGAGCTTCTCGAAGGCGGGGTCCAGCTTGCCGGCCATGGAGGGGTGGAGGGGCTGAAGAGCCTCGTGTTTTCCGTCGGACGCCATGTCGAATAACTTGATTTCCTGCCTTTGCTCGTGGGCAGCAGCTGTAATGGCGAGAAAGAGAGGAAGGGGAAGACTGGTGATTCTATATCTCGCAAAGATCGTAGGTCAAGTTCTCCATCTCGAGCTCCAGCTCCCAGCTTTAGCGGCTGCAGCAACGTTGATCGGAGGTTATTAATCTCGACCCCATAGTGGGTGATACGCGCGCCGCCGGCCGCGGGACGCCACGCATCTTCGATTTCCGCGCTGGGTCCGACGGTAGACGCCAGGCGCGCATCTCCAGGCGCTCAACCACCTTTTGTCAGTGGACAGAAGAATACAAAGATGGCGGGCCTGCTTATGCCTCCTAACAGGGAATGTGTAGCAGGTCACTGCTGTCTTGGGGAATTGGTGGAAACAAATTACTATGTGGAGGTTGGCTTGCAGACGGCTTGCCGGTAAGCTGTCAGTAAGCTGCCTCGCAGACATCACACGACTTGCAGATGGCATACATCCTGTATGAAATGATAATGAGAACCCCCTTTCTTGCCTTTGACTGAGGTTGACTTGTGCATAATCACGTATCTTGGGAGAGAATTGGTAAAAACTTACCATACCCTGGTTTGTAGTCGGTTAAGTCGCTAATAGTGGGTGGCTACCTATTCAGCGGTGCCCCAAGCTTGCTATTTCAACAGCTCGTGTCTCAATTTAAAGATGGCAATAATACCAGACATTAAATAATACAGCTTTTGTATGCCGAATAGCTACTCATTTTGTTTAGGGGTCACATTTGTCGACGATTAATAATATTTGGATGCCATGGGGATGGAGCAGACGCGTAGCATAGAATGAGGCAGTATGCAACTATCATTCTGACCCAACACGCTGAGGACGAGCTACCTGAATCATTTCATTAGTAACTGTTGATCTCAGGAGACAAATTAATAGAGAAGACGCATTTTTCGGCCGTTTCAAAGGTCTAATGATAAACACAGTCTTTGTAATATACTGAGCCAGGTGTTTTTAAGGCTTTTGGCAAGTTCATGATTTTTAGGCATTGTTCAACAACATGAACTTTTAGATGATCAGCCAAGAATTATGTTGACCATTCCGAAGCTCACTAAAATCAAGCTATGAACAATGCAAAGGCTCTAGGATTTACCCTGTGCTCACGTATCGAAGATATGAATCGTCTCCGATAAGTTCAAGTATGCCGGGTAGGCATTTTAGCAGATGATCAACTGAGGTGGCTTTTACAGTAAATCGACTGGCCAGCTAAAACAGCCCCCCAACCTCCTCCAAACTGCGCGATTTCCAAGCCGATAAAACTGCCTGTGGCACTAGCAGATCAGATCCGCGGTGTGGTTCGGCATCAGCTAACAAACGGAACGCTGCGCGGGACTCACCGCCTGCTAGAAAGGACCGTGCTGGGCGTGGAACAGGGAACAGCCAGCAGTCGATGGCCAGATGCAAAGCACATGCAGTGATATGGTTTTTTGCGCGGTGGCCCAAGTGGTTGCTGGCCCATGTCCGTCCATGTTAACACAAAGGCCATCGGGTGATCCGATCCATCATCGCAATGCAAATAGATACGATGAAGCAATATTTCAAGCAAACTCGTCTCACTCGATTAGCAATCTCTCCATTCGCATTACCGGTTAGGGAGCCCAAGACCGGCGGAAGACGAGAAGTGGTTCCACAATTGTTACGGTAGGAGTTACCGATTCTCAATTTTACTGATCCCGTTCAAATGTTCCTGCTATTACTAGTGATTGATATCTCCCCATTTGGTTCCAGACCTAGGGAAAACCCGTGGAGAAGAGTGAACCCCTGAAAGAGCCGCCGGATGGGACGAAAGTTGTGGCTAGAATGCGCCGTCGTGGTGGTAGCAGAACCACACGGACACCCTTGCTTCCGTCATGATGCATGCACTATGAGGGGCAGAGAGAATAGCTTTAAAAGCGCGGCCATAGAAGACGCTTTTTTATGAAAACAAAGATAAGAAAGGCGATTGATTTCGACGGCAGCTAGCTCTGTACTCAGCTACTATTATCACTACACACATTGCATCTCCATTCGGCATGAACGTCAGCAATAAACCCGTGCTCATCATTGGCGCTGGTGTCGTGGGCTTGACGTTGGCACACGGACTCAAGAAAGTACATCAATGGCATATTCTCTTCATTTTGGACTCAGCATTTGCTAACTCTAAATCTTCTTGGTTCCCTTTTCTAGGCCAACATTCCGTTTGAAATCTACGAGCGCGACGAAAACATCGATGCCCGCGGACAAGGATATGCCATCACCTTACATTGGGTGTTGGAGTACTTGAAGCAAATTCTCGACCAAGAGACCTTTGATGCCATAGACGGCGTCCAGGTCGATCCAGAAGTCGGCCGCCATGACAGCGGCAACTTCATGTTCATCAACCTCGAGACGAAGGAAGCCAAATTCAAGATCCCGCCCAACTACCGCCGCCGCGTGAACCGCGAGAAGCTGCGCAAGGTGCTGCTCAAGGGAGTCGCGGACAAGGTCCACTGGAACAAGAGGCTGGCAGACATCCAAGTGTCTGACAATGCCAGCGATGGCGTCACGGCCGTCTTTGCGGACGGGACTAGGGCCCAGGGGAGGATACTCGTCGGCGCCGAGGGCAGCAACTCTCAAACAAGAAAGTTCCTCGTGCCGGACGCCCATCAGAACTACCTGCTGCCTGTCAAGATGATTGGCGCTTCCGCAGACTTTACTCCCGAGCAGGTCGCGCCGCTGCGAAACATTGACCCACTGCTCTTCCAGGGCAGTCACCCGACGACGGGCGTCTTCCTCTGGATCTCTATGCTCGAGACCCCAGAAGTCAACGGCACAGCGGGCACTGCCAACGAGCGCTTCCGCGTTCAAGTCATGCTCTCATGGATGGACAAGGACAGGAACGAAGTCATCCCAGAAGCAAACCAGGACCGCATCGCCCTAATGAAGCGCCTGGTTGACGGCTTCCACCCGGATCTATACAACACCATACAGGCAATTCCCGAATCCTCGTCGACTCTCCACCTCGTCCTGCAAGACTGGCCCTGCCAAGACTGGAGCAATCACGACGGCCGAGTGACTCTAGTTGGCGACGCCGCCCACGCCATGGTCATGTATCGCGGCGAGGCTGGTAACCATGGTATCCTTGACGCCTGGCATCTTCTGGGCGAGATCAAGGCGGTGTATGCTGGGGACAAGACTGAGGCCGTGGCCGTGACTGATTATGAGACAGAGATGAAGGAGAGGACCAAGCCGGCTGTATTGTTGAGTCGACAGGCGTGTTTGGATGCGCATGACTTTGACGGCTTGAATAACGACTCGGCGGTGCTCAAGGTGAGAGCTATCAAGGCGGCTACCAAGGCGTAAGTCAAGTGGAAGATTGTAAATGTTGGATCATGCGTGAGTTTATGATGTGTCATGTATTGTTTAGTGGCCGATTTGTTCTGTTATTCTAATGTGTATATAAAATGAACATGCAAAGCAATGCCCCTATGCTGTATACATCTACCGCAAAACCAGCCTCGCTCACTTACTTTCTATGTGCGATGTAAGGAATCGTACAACCCCCATTACCCCGTCTCATGGCTCGTAGTCGCATGGTATAGAACGCAAGGGGACAATTCTAATACGTAGCCGCGAGAAGAAATCGATGCAAGGGAGCGTCATTGCTCATTCTTCTACATCAGCGGTTATCCTCCGCAAACTTGCTTTCATGGCGGACTGGAGATGCTGACGCTAACTCTACGCCTCTTTTAAAGCTTAACATTGAGTCTGTGATGCCATCAACCTCTTTGGTCCACGCTAGACCTCTTGTGAGACTTCTGCCCTTTCGATCTTGGTGATTGCTCCATGACGCAATTGCCGAAAGCGTCGATTCCCAGAAACTCAAAAAGACACAATGAGCTTAGCAACGTAAAAAGACGGGAGCATCTCCCTTTAGTGCGGATTTGCTCTTCACTCATCTCTAAACGGCATCACGTGTCAAAGGAGAACCAAGGAAAACAAGGACAAAGACAATCTGGAAGACCAAAGTATCGAACAAAAGTTCAATAATCATCGAAAATGAAGGACAAGAGCGAAGTTATCCAAGAGTTCAATGAGCTCGTCAACGTGACGGCGAAGGAACTGAAGGAGTGGCTAAAGGGTGACGACTCTACAAGTGCTGGATGGGAGAAGGACGATGGCAGCGGTGAATCCGTCGGTCATGACAGTGGTCGAAAGATTGTTGAGATTCTCGAATCCAATCCCGAGAAGGACCCGGAAAAGTACTCAGAAGATGATGTTGGCCACATGAGGAAGGTTGTGTCTTACTGGTATGTACTGATTCTGAGACATCTTGTCTTGGGGAACTTACAGAGACTGACAGAACTTGATTAGCAAACGACACTTGGCTCAGGAAGAAAAGGCAAACAATGAAAAGCCCATTGAAGAAGTGAAAAAGACCAAGTCGTACGCGTCTCTCATGAACTGGGGCCACGATCCCATCAAGAAGCGCGAGGCAAATGGTGGTGGTGCTGAAGGCGAGGAAGAGGAGCAACCTGAGGAGCAGGAAGAGGAGGCAAAAGAAGAAAAAGCAGGAGAAAAACGGAAGGCCCCTGACGACCAGTCTGGACAGAGCAAGAAGAGAGAAACAGAGGATGGCGCTGCTGAGGTAAAGGACGACGAAAAGAAGGATAAAGAAGCTGAGGGAGCCGAAGAGGAGGCCGAAGAGGAGGCTCCAAAGAAGCAGGAGTCAAAGAACGGCCAGAAGAACGGGGCAGAGGCGGGAAATGGGGACAAGGCAAAGGGGCCTAAAGAGGGCGACACGGTGAGCTGGAACTGGGGCCAAGGCCAACCTGAGGGGAAAGTGAAAGAGGTGAATCCTGGAGAGTAAGTCACTGAAAACGCACATTTTGAATCTTTCAAAAGCTAACCGAATGTAAAATAGGACCACTATTGAGACGAAAAAGGGAAACAAAGTCTCGCGAAAGGGCGATGAGGAGGATCCTGCTGTTGTCCTTGACACTGGAAAGTCGGATGCGATTAAGCTCAGCCATGAACTGAACGAGACTGAGGGATGATTGTGTCAGGACTGATGTACTTATGTATCTTTTGGCCAGATTGGATCGATCCTGATATACCCGGCAAAGAGTAACTGGCGTTTTCATGTTGTTGTTACTGTAACTGCCAGAGGGAATGCGGTTGAATGCCCGAGGCAATGTTGGTAACACTGAGAACAAAGGAGTGTCAGTCAATGGATTGTTTCATTCAATAAAATAGGTACATGAATGCATCTTCGGTGCATGTATTCACTGGTCTTTGTTGAATCAAAGCCCCAGGTTGGTTCAAGGCCTCCACTAGTAATAATTGATCTTCTCGGGTATCGGCTCGGTGAAAGGTGCAGGGGGGAAACACATAGAGCGTCTGTAGCGTCCGTAAGCGCCCACTTTAGCGGACTTCAGTGGGGATGCTCGGTGGAACATAGCGGGGTATGGGCTCTCGGACGGCTGAGCTGATAAAGACTGGACACAGACAGACGCGGCGTCATCCATCAATGGCTGAGTTCAGTCCAGTTCTGTCTTGTTCACCTTGGCAGCTCTTCCTCGCGGTGGCCCGGCTGCTGTCAGACGGCTCCTGATCTCCCGTCTTGCTGTCGTTTTTTCTTTCTTTCTCGTTGCTTCATCATGCGGTTTGAATTCTAAAGTCTCTGGTCATGAAGACTTGAATCCATCATGTAAGTAAGATCCCGCGAGAGAAAAAAAAAAGCGCCGGCCCATCCATCACATGGAAATGGCCCGATTGATGCCAACTAACCATCGTGTCTTCCTAGGATCGAGCCTTCGATTCGATTGCGGCGCGCAATCCACGCCGGCGACGCCCTGCTGGTCAAGCGCATCCTCAAGTCCCATCCATCTCTCCTCCACAATCCCGATGTCTCGCCAGTCGGCCTCTCCAACTCCAACATGCACCTTGCCGCCTCTCTCGGCCACAAGGAAGTCTGCCAGGTGCTCCTCGATGCCGGCCACGAAGACCCTTGTCCCGCCCTCAACGAGAACCATCAAACTGCCCTCATGCTTGCCTCGGGTGCGGGCCACACGGAAGTTGTCCACTTGCTGTGCGAAAAAGACTCGGGCTGCATTCTACGAAGAGATATTCGCGGCCGGGATGCCGTCATGGAGGCCAGCGGGGGCGGCCACGATACCATACTGCAGCTGCTGTTGACATATGTCCCTGGAGGACCATATGAGGCAGTTCAGAGAGCTGATTCAGAGGGAAATACGGCTCTTCACTTTGCGAGCGGCAACGGGAATTTGTTGGGTCTACGGACCTTGCTCGCGGCTGGGGCGGATGTTGAGAGACGCAACATGTGGAACTGGACGCCAGTTGCGTATAGCGCTACGGTACAGGCGGAGGTTTATCTCAAGGGCCTGGTGTCCGAGGTGGGAAGGCTTCAGCAGCAACAACAGAAACGGAAGCAGAGTATCGAGCCTGTTAAAAAGATGGCTGTTGGCAGCGTCAGGGTAGTGACTAGCGACGAGGACGAGCGTTATGAAGTTTCGTGATGCGATGGATGTTTTATCTTTATGAGGAATGGCATGGCAAACTATACGGATTTGTCTTGAGATTATGCGGGCTGCAGGCAGAGCCACGTGTGTTTTGATATATTGTATTTATTGTCTTGATCGTCTCGCCGGAGTCGGAGCATAGCCTAACTACTTTTTGTCAGAGTCACAATTTCAATTGAGCAATTTGACGCACAATAAAATCCCCCAATTGAGCAAGAAACCTTTTCTTTCGTTATTTTACCACATCCATGTTTAGTAATCAGAAGCTGTGTCATGTTGCCAAGTCCATCTCAATTCAATCGCTGCTCCAACAAACGGCCGGACTTAGCAGCTCCAGCATCCACACATTTCCGACCGCCGAGAAGTACGGCTATCCTACCGTTATACACACCCCAAGTCCATTCAACCACTGTGTATCGCTTCATTGACAAAAAATATAAAAAGCTGGACAAAATGGACTTTGAAAAGGAAGAAAACAAGAACAACTCGATTCCTCAGTTCAATCCTAACAATCGATAACACATCATGTCTACTATTCTCGTCACGGGAGGAAACCGAGGCATCGGCTTCGGCATCGTCCAGGCTATCGCACAACGGATTCCTTCTTCCACCATCATCTTGGCCTGCAGAAACCTTGCAACCGGCCGTGAGGCAATCGATCAGTTGCGAGGACAGGACATCTCATCCAACCTGGATGCAATCCAGCTTGACATTGAAGATATCCAGAGCATCACGAATGCTGTCGAGGCTGTCAACGACCGATATGGAAAGCTGGACGGTGCGTATATCGAGACATCACCTTATGCCTCATATTACTTGTAGAATATCCTGTTCATGCAATTTTTCATCTTATTATTAGTCCTCATCAACAATGCTGCGAGCCTTCAGATGCCCAAAACTCAGGACCTCGCCGAGCTGAGAGATTGCTCCAACATCAACTTCAACCGCTGTGTCACATCCAACATTCTTGTGACCAAGGCGTTCGTCCCGCTACTCAGGAAGAGCTCCTGGCCGAGAGTCATTATGAACTCCAGCGCCAGAGGCAGTCTTGGTCGCACAGCAAGCAGAGAGGTGCGCGAGTTTTCCCATCGTCTCCGTCCCCGAATGCGAATCAAAGGGCAAACCATCTGGTGTAACCGCTTGCTAACATATCACAAAGCTTCCGCCCGTGGCTCTCATCGACTATTGCGTGTGCAAGGCCGCGCTCAACATGCTGACGCTGCATTATCAGATAAACGAGGACAACTACAAGGACAGTGGGGAAAAGATCACCTTCTGGAGCGTCAGCCCTGGCCACACGAAGACGGCCTTCAACAACTATCAGGGGAAGAAGGATCCCGTGGATAGTGCCGAGGCATTCGTACGGCTGCTGGAATCTGAAAAGGGCGCCATCGACCCGGGGACTTTTTGGGAGTACGAAGCAGGCAAGTTTCAAGTCGTGCCCTGGTAAGCCTCCGGTGAGGCTCTTCATTGTCGGTGGATATGTCTCCATACCTAGGGGGCCATGCATGCGTCTGTGGATCACATCTCATCACGGCTGAAAGACCGATTCAGCTTCTTCAATAGACAAATATTCTCATGAGGTGCCAACTACGTGCAGCCTGCAGGTCGCCGCCTGGCCTTGGCTCTGCTATTTTTTATTGTGTTTATCTGTATGTGCCCAACCTGGAGGCGAAGGAGGCGAATGTTTGATGTGGAACAAATCGGCCACGTCTCCAGATTGCTCATCAACGTGGCATCCACGTATGACCGCCTTCATCACGCGGCAAATGAGAGCGAGCGCAAGCACTTTACTCGCTTCTGGCTGATTGGACACGGACACTTCTCTCCCTGTCATCTTTGGCATCGTTGGGCATTCGGGCCATCCCACGCCACCAGGCACGAAGTCAGTGATTCACCGCCAGCAAAAGTTCAGCTTGCCTGGTGCAGATCATGTCTTTGCCATCGAACAAAAACTGGCTTCTTTGCCATCAGAACCTTAGTTTCCATCACCGAAGTGAATCATTGCAATACCCAAAAGTACATAACTGATAGGTTTCTAGCGAAGAATCATGGAAATCCCAATGCCGTTCTCTTCTCTCCGACACCACCATCTGAGAGGCAGCTACGCTCATCCGTTTGACAGAGCAAACAATTTTTCACCTATAACATCCCCGTTTCTCCCTTCTGGCCGTGTCCCACCGGCACCGGCCGCGGCTTATACCACCACATCTATGCCCAACGCTCCCCGCGTGACCTGTAGGAGGATTCCCATCGAGCCTGGCCAGCTTCCGGCACCAGCAACTAAGCTCGTCATCACCCAGGTGCTCCAAGCCAGTGAGGATTCCCAGTTCTGGGCGTTGATCACCGTGGGGGCGTTTTACGATAGCGAGGATCGCATCATCTGGAGCACAGAGCAGTTTGCCGCCCACGTCGGCACTGACTCCGAGTCGGACGAGGAAGAAGCTTCCGAGGCGGAGGCAGAGACGGGGCGTGAGACTGAGGCTGAGCCCGAAGCTGAAGCTACGCTTGAGTCTACTACGACTGAATCTACGATTGAACCTAGTTCACTACCTGGTACGTTAATCACGGTTGTCTTGTTGTCTCTGAGTCGCCCCTCATAGAAGCCTGTATAAGCTAACGCCTGTGTAAAGTTCATTCTCTAGCAACTCATCAAATTCCTGTATCACCCAGATTCCGAGCTCACCACCCTGAACCATACTGGCAACACCCCGTCAGCGCATATCGAGGCTATAATAACCACGAATCGGCCTTCTCTCCCTCTCGGGGTTTGCCTCATTCTCATCTTCGTCCCCATTTCCACGCTCACCCTTGTAATCACCATCATTTCCCTCACCCCTATACTCACTCTTATCCTCACCACCCTCAAGCTCACATCCACTACCTGGCTGCACCCAGCTTCCCAGCGCCGTCATCGCCTATTGGCAGCCCTATTGGCAGCCCACCTGCTGGCTGGAATCCCGTCTTCTCCGGTCCTGTCCCAGGACACTGGCAAGCGTCTTTCCAACCCAGCATCGGACGTTGGGTTCACACTTGGCAGCCTCGGCCATTCGAGATACCCTTCCGCTAGCCTCTCGCTCTAGCCTACCGTAGATATGTCCGGAGGTTGGAATCCGTTGACAGGCCGCGACTCCGGCTCCGGCCGCCCCGCCTATGCTCCGTACGGAGCCCCTCAGCCAGCCCAAGGCCAAGCATACATTCCTCATGCTGGCGGGCCCGGCTACTCCTTTGGTACGGTGCCTCAGCAAAGCGCTTGGCCTAACATGACTTACGGATACTATCCTCTAGCCTCCGCTCAAGGCGTCCCTCAATATGCCATGCCCGGAGCTGGCTACACTGCCGCTCAGGGGCCCTCTGCCGGCTACTATACGCAGCAGACTTATTCTTACCAGCCCAACGGCACGGGCAACATGCTCCCTCGCCAGCCTCAGCCATACCCCAACATTGATCCCACCATGCCAGCCGCCCAAATGACGAACACGACCGGCGGCACCGGTTGCGAGCCGGGCTACAACTACTTCTTCCCCGCGGAGCACACAAAGGCCCACGTCTTCAAGACAAACACGCCTCCCTGGCAGCTCCCGCCCACGGCACAGATCCCCTTCAAGGCAGCGCACATCCCATGCAACACCACCATGGCGGAGCTGCTCAAGGGTTTCGGCTGCACTAACGCAACGCCCAAGAAGAACAAGTGCTTCGAGGTCGTCAGCGGAGGAGGCGGCAAGTGGTACAAGGGCCTAGAGGTCAACGGCGCGGACAAGGATATGCTGAAGAAGACGATCAAGGACGTGGGCTGGGATTCTACGAGAACTGGCAATCCGAATGAGAAGCCTGTTGTTTGCTTGTGGTTCTGTCGAGACTGATTGCGTGTATTCGGCTGCTTTTCTGTCTCTATGTCGCTCATTACTCTCTCTTTCTTTTGTTTGGGCCTCGCCAATGGTATTGATGGCGAGAAGGTGGCTTTGTTTGGTGTTTATGATTTGGGTTCACTTTCTTGATGGGTGATTTGGGCAAGTAAATGCGGTAGCTTAGTAGTCAATGTAACTACAAACGAGCAAACTCAGAGTGCTCTCAAGACATGTTGTTGATATGGAATTTGCTAGCTGGCATCCCGAGTTAGCTATACAGCATCCCAGTAACTGCTACTTATGTACTTATCTAGTTCGTCAAAGGTCTAGTCCTCTATTATCACTATTAGCACTTTCTTCTACTACCTCTACTTCCTTCTACTCTCCCTGCAATGGCTACTTTCTTCTACATATACTATTCCCTCTTTCTTCTATATCTCCATTGTTCTTCTATATCTCCTTTCTTCCACTCTCTCTACTCTCTTCTACTCTCTCTACTCTCCCTACTCTCTTCTACTCTCTCTACTCTTTTCTACTATATTTACTTTCTTTTGCTATATCTAATCCCTTCCCTATTCCTTTCTCATAATTATATCTGCCAACAATGCAGCACGGGACGCTATATAGTCAGATCTCTGGCACGCGTTCGAAACGAGCAATTGCTCCCAATTGTAGCGTGTGCTGGAGTGGAAGAGCTTGTATTGTACTAGTTCTACCACTATCTTCAACTTGCGGCACTGGCTAGTAAAACTCGTTAATATTTGTACATGTAGTCTTTCCGCGAGTGACATACGGGATTCAGCTAGCAGAACTTCCATCGTCATCTCACTTGTTTTCCTCTGCCATCGGCAGCCTGCTTTCAAACTCTCTAACCATCTCCTCCGCCGTCCATACCAATTCTATTCGCTTGACCCATTCATCTTCTTCCGCTCCACAGCCTTTCCAACGTACGAGATACTCCGTTTGTGGGTTTCGGCCTCTGTTGCTGACGCGCCTTTTGACCAATTTGTCTATGACCCATTGATCTTGACCTTCGACACATATCTTTTCGGGCATCTCTGTCCCACGGCTGAACGGATCGGATGTCTTCAGGGCTGGTGTTAGTTGGGCAATTGATACTACATCAGACATATCTTATTCGCCGTTACCACCTAGCAAGACAGCTGCCAAAGCAAGATTTATTTAACTTTTCTTTTCCTTTCTCTCTTCTGTCTCTCCATATTCTGCCTTTTTCTTCTTTTTATATAGATGATTGATGGAATAAAATCCTGCAGCTGGCAGACACTCCTTGCTCGCCGTTGACACCTGGCGAGGCAGCCGCCAAAGCACTATTTAATCCAATTCACTCTTCCCTTTCCCTTCTCTTCCTTTTCTTCTTCTTTTCTTATCCTCCCTTTTCCCCTTTCCTAAGTACGCCCAAATAGCCGCATGGTGCCGGCAAACCATCGTTAAAACAGAGTCAGCAAGGTGCCAACAATATCGTCAAGGCAGTCAACAACGTTATCAAGATAGACTTAACAAAGTTGTCAACGACGTCGAGGCAAGAACGTCTTCAAAGAAGAATCAACACCGCTGTGCAAGACGGTATCAGAACCCAAATATGGCGCAACTAGGAATTATAACACGATTGGATATAGCCCAGCTAGGGCTTGACGAAGACCATGAGCCGTACTCTGACGGTGTAGCCTGCATACAGGCGTATTGGGCGTTTTCTATGGATCTGTCTCAGAGGGAGAGAGACAACATGCGCAACCTTATTTTGGATGACTACTACCATCACTCAGTTGCGTCACGGGAAGAGTTCTATGAACACCGCCTCTGCAGGGATCCAGCTGGAAAAACCAGACCGGGCTTGATCCTCCTACGAGCGTTATACAAGGCGGTGCCTGTCGATTTTGAAAACGACGTCGTGGCGCGTTGCGGTCACCTTCCCAGGCGAAATCGCTCCGACGAGTATTTCACCTTGTTCCCTGACACTGTCGGCCCTCCAATTTTCGATATGGATACCGACAGAGCAAGACAATACCAAGAGCGTTATCCGCTCTTGAAAGTCACGCCGAGTACTCTTCGCAACCGTGATCAAGACGTTATCCCACTTCAAGAGACACCATCGCCTATGTCTACGAGCTCGCCTGGGCCGTCGGTCATGGACGATTCCAATGAAAGACCAACGCAAAACCCTGTGGACCTTTTTCAGCCGCTTTCGGCCACCGCGACAGAGGCTAACCGCCCGGTGACGAGACTGGAGTTTGATAGATTATGCAGAGAGTTGGCGACTACGAAGGCAGAGGTAACGGCTACGAGGGCAGAGGTGGCGACTATGAGGGCAGAGATGACGACGATGAGAGCAGATATAATGACTCTCAGGGACAACGTCGTTCAGATCAAGGAAGACATAGAAGTCATTGCGATAAATGTGTACAGGCTGCGACGACAACTAAACCTACTTCCTTAAACCGACTTCCGATCACCTTTGACGGAGAGAAGACGGGTTTCAGACAACGGAACGACTCAAAGGCTAGAGTAAAACCTCATGAGAGAATTGATGGATTGGGACAACAGGACAATGAGACAAATAAATGACAGTTTGCTTAGGGAGAAAGACACGGGTTTACTGAGAACGTTTTCTAAATATTCAATAGTCGACAAAGACAACAACTTTATATTTGCGGAAACTTCCTGGTACTCAGAAATGTAGCCTGGAAGGAAGAGTAGCGAGAGCGAGAAATGATTTTCTCTAGAAAAGTAGATTTGCGTTTTATGTACCGGGTCCATTGAAGGCAGACCATGTCTGAGGTTACGTGCATGGCTTTGATGTGATTTGAAATACGGTGCATTGTCCTGTCTTCCAACTCTTCACGATTACACCCTATACAAGTGTAAGAAGTGATATTACGTTGCATATCGGTCTATACAAATTCAATAGTTTCCTCAGTTTGTATTTACGTATTCTGCACCTTAATCACTAAGGGGGGCATACCTTATCTCTAGCCATGGCACGAGAAAGAGGGGGAGCTGAACGGTGGAAGAGCCGGTATACTGTGCATGTGCTCGCTACCCTACAAGAAAAGACAATATATACCTCATGACTTCAACAATTGCAATTTAGACGAGTGTTTGTAAGCCTTGTATGAATCATGCAGAAACGATCGGGTAAAAGAAGACACGAAAATGTAGTGAAATGGCGTCCCCCTATTTTGCGGGACCTCCGAGACTACATGTACTCGAACGTACTGGCCGCCCATGAGCAAAGCGTTTGTGCATAGCTTCTGTAGACATACCATTTCCCTTTTAAAAAGCAAATATGGTAGCAGGAATAATCTACTGATGAGTTACAGTACGTGACTCACTCGATTACTTGTACAACAGCTCTTGTACCATTGTACGTGATTAATGCAAAATTGTTGATTATACAACAACAATTTACTCTTCCCCTGAAAGCTTTTCAAATTTTACCACGAGGCAAACTATCTCTTCAGCACTAACATCCCGCAGGAGAAACCACAGCCTCTTTACTGCAAGGGTGGCCTTGAGTACAGCATGACTATCCTATAAGAGAGATATGAAGTGAGCAATCTCCTTCGTCTCTCTCTTTGTATTTTGTATCAAATCGTGTCGGTTATAAGAATCAAAGCGGCCTGTATCTAGTCTGTATCATGAATGAAGAGGTCAATTAAATATAAATTGAGCGTAAAAATTGTGAATCAGAACGGACCATTGTTCAGAGATTTTCAAAACATCTGAGAGTACGGAAAGAGGATAATATCAGAATCAGGAAATGGGGAATCGACCATGGAAAGAAGTTGCAGAGACAGGATGATACGATATCCAGCTCATCCCCTGACTTTCATCAAACTCGAACGTAATTGACAAACTGTAACGCCCTCCGACCTCGGACAAACTAGCTACGACTTCGCATGCATCAGTCGTGGCCATGATGATTCTCATACGAGGGTATTCCACTCGGAACGTCTGGATCTAGACCACACGCACGCCAAGGTACGGAACTTGGATGCCTAAACCCTATATCCAATAGCTCACCACCTCGGCGGTTTCAATGCAGGACTGCATGATCCGAGTACTCGGGGCTAGATCTCGTTGCCCCATGTTGCGTGCTCTATAAACGCCTAGCCCAGCAAGCCCCGTGGGGTGTTGCAGAGTCGGCATGTCCTTCATCACGATGCAAGTGCCATTTGTGTGGGTGCTGTGCCCCGAGCCTGTCCTTAACCATATGCCTCGTGTTGGCGGTAGTTTTCTGATAACAGGCATCAACATTATCACGGCTGCCACTGGTCCAACCCGGGTCCCCAAGGCGGGTCTTTCTTCATCCCCTGGTTCGGCCAAGGATAGAACGTGGAGTCGAATGGCTTCGAGAGCGGGCGGTCTAACATGAAGCTAGCAGCATGGCGTGTGGGGAGCGGCGAGACGGCTCAGTAGAGGTGGCGAGTGAGAGCGAGGCAAATTTAGGCGTGGCGTGTGTCGACAGGAATACTGTAGCAGAGTATCTCCATGAATTCTCCAGAGAAAATCCGACCATCGTGAGGCTTCATCGTCCAAAGCGAACGTAAAAACATTAAATGACAGTACTAAATCAACAAATTAGTATCGTCGTATCTGTACTAGCAGTTTGCTAGATGCCGCTATTTTCAATCGCGGTGCTGAAAGTCGAGTACGGCGAGGCCGAGTAGATGGCTTGTCTGTAAGAGAAATATTAGTAGAGGGCTTAAATTGCTGAGTCTGTTTAGACGCAATGAAGTTAGCTCTATGATGAACTATATGGACGCCAAGCTGAAAAATTGCGTCTGCAAAAGGCGGTAGGGAAGCCCATAGTAGGTACTTGGGCATGAATGTCACACACCGGAAGCTTTGCCGACCTGAACTGGCAAGCTTCTTGTCTCTGCAGATTTGAATCGTAGATTCTACCTGTCAGTCAGACTGCAGCAATGTCTCAGTTCTGTCAACTATACTCATTTAGACGAGATCTACAACACTGGAGAGCAGCGTTGGATCTCGCCTTGATATCGTACGAATGAAAGTGTGTACATAGACCCATCTGGATGGAAGTTTGCCATGTGGAGACACGAGTGTAAAGTATAGACAGACGTAAAAGTTGCTTGTACCTGCTTATGAGCGTATTATGAAGGCATTAGAGATAGTAATTCATGGTTCGGCCGGCCCATGTACATGCATGCGTGACTTCAGTTGCTGGGATTATCCGGCATTACTGCGTGCTTTCGAAAGTCTCGACGTCCATATACGGTCACCTGGTGGCTTGGTAGCTCGGCTCCTAGATCTATTGGCGTAACATAGATGCTAGGGTCGAACAAGCAGACTATCGGTCACTTTCAATCAAACTGTCCGTGTAATAGTGTACGGAGTAATTCTGCTCGTTCACACTCTGGCATGCAAGCATTCATGGCTCGTCCATTGTTCTCCACCTGATAGCAAGCATCAGCTGCAGCGCTAGCCAAAGCAAGAACCCCGGTGATTCGGAGTTTTTGGTGACGGCCCTCCTCTTCTCTCCTCTCTCTCGGCGGGCGATCAGGCAGCAGAATTAATTTTGTGGAAGCATCTCCACCTGACGGTTTTAGCAGCTTGAGAGCTGGTAAAGATCGGCCAATGTCAGCGAGTGTGGGCTTCTGTGTGTGACCAGACCGGACTTTTGACTGCTCAGCCCAATGCCAGCCAACGTGCAGTCGTAGAAGGACGAACAATCAACGCTCATGGCTGATGGACGGTGAATAGGGAGTCCAGATGATCTTGCGGCAGATGCTATATCGATTCTGATCTCCTCGGCCATGGCGCCACGCTAGGTAAGATGGAGAGCCGGGTTTTCTGCAAGGCGCCGGGAATCGCTAGCAGCAAGGCGAGAGCTGGTCTGAGAAGTCCGCGTACTCGTACAAGTCTGTACCCCATCCCATGAAGCTGGGCTACGGACTAGCCACCACTTTGCCATGGTCTGGGATTTGGCGCGCGGGATGAGTTCGCAAGTGGACGCTAGTGCCACGGCTGTCGTTGCATGCCGGCGCGCCCCCGAATGCATCCAGTGAGGATCAGAGGAATTCTGTTGCCTGGCATCTCGCTAGCAAAGACTGCTGATCCCGGAGCATGGCAACTGATTCAGTGGCCTGGGTTTCCACCTGTGCTTACTTGTAGTACGAGAATGTGCCCTTGGCCCTCGGCACGGTACCTGGGCGTGTACTCGTACTAGAATGGCCATGCGCTCTTGGTCTTGTCGACTATTCGTATGGCTCTCCGAAGAGTTTCGGAGCTGATGGTGATGACCTGCCAGAGATGATTTTATCGCTCCTAGCGGGCGCCGGATCCGTCAATGTCGAGCGTGGCGTTGCCGCCGCTAGCTGTACTTTGCCCGCGCTGGTCTTAAGGTTCTAGGCCGTTGCCATGGTTCGATGTTTTCGACTGGAGGCACATGCATCCGGCATTGCATCTCGAAAAATGAAAAGGTGTTAGCTGAGTTGGAGAAGGTGGAGTTTGCAGAATGCATGGAAGTGGAAGCTTGGACTGACTGAGGGCATCAATTGCGCTAGCAGATATTGGCTCTGTACTAAATACCTTGGCTGACGCAGATCTGCTACCGCAAACGAGGTACAGAGCACCTCCAACTAAACCAAGGGAAGAAGCATAGCCGAACGCGGGCGTGTTCAGTGGTCTTCAGGTACCTTAGTACTCAAGCTACTCGTATCCTCCCAACACTCCGTATTATAGACTACTGGAATCCATTTCGGACCGAGACTGTGCCAATGTCGATCTGCACAAATACAGCAGTCAAAAATGGTATTCATCGGCCAGGTACAGGACAATTGATCACCTCCACTATCTCGTACGAGTCCAGGTGCTGCACAGACACCTGCAGGGTCGCCCTGTACGAGACTTTTGGAGACCTACGGGAGTTGCTCCCACCTACGTCAGGGGATGGCCTAGCTGCTCTTTTAGGGGCCAATTGCAGCGCCGTCCAGGGGGTGTGTCCAGGGCCCACAGTGGCCAAACAACCGCTTGCGGGTTTCCACTCTCGACCTCGAAGCTAATCCAAGACAAAACTTCTCCATTTTCAACCGCTTCAGCACGAAAGCAAAGGGGCTTGTTTTTCCCATGGGGAACTGGAGAATCTCCTCTATTGTTTTGTCTGGGGGTGCGGGGGACACCCTGGAGATGTTTCCCCGTTTGGCAAATTCCAGCATGGCCAGTCTTACACGCAGTCCGGCTTCGAAGATGAGCTTGATGTTTCATACGGGCGTTGGTTCTCATTGATCATCTACAGCTGGGTGCCGGAACATGACGATCATCCCATTGCTACTCTGTTTACGTGATACGAGTACAGGTATGTGTCATCCGCGTCCGTGCTGCTGCTGCCGTACAATAGGTAGATTAACTGGTGTGGCACATGGCAGTAACACAAAAAGAAATCTCTTCATCCCGGACTACGGCTCCGGGCGTGGGAAACGACGCTACTGCGAGACAAGCTGCCACATCCACCCATACAACATGATGAACGCATGAGTCGTACTGTAGCGTCTCTATGGCTCTTTGCGTCCGTCTTCCAAGCTTCGGTCTCCACGCCACCATCAAAATGCCATTCGACTAGCATCTCCTCCAGCCACGAGTGGGCCGGACAAGGATTGGTCTCATCCTGGCTTGGGCCATGTTGCTCAACTGACTTGGAAGATGGCCAATGTACATCCACAATGCCATGGTCCAAGGTGTTTCCGGCGTCCTCAAATCGCGGGGATGACAACGAGTATCCAGCTGGAGCCCAATGTTAGCCGCACGCGACAAACACTCAAATAGCCATTGTTCTCCGCCTCCAGATTCCGGCTCTCGTCTCACTTCCCCAGCTCACCACAAAGGAGTAGGAGTATAATAAACCTCCTTGTCCCCTCTGTCTTGACCTTGATTGTCTCGACACTTTCAACTTCTTCAGCTGGGAAGCAAGATCCCTCTCTTGTCTCGTCTGTTTACACCAATTGAGCCAGCAAGAGAAAGTCAATCTGCGGACTGATCCGCCTATCCTTCAAGATGTCGGGAATATAGTCAGTTGCCCCCCCTTTTTGGTATATCTTCCTCTGTCAACATGTACACTAACGTGTTTTGATACAGCGAATCCAAGAGTGTCCATGAGACCTCTATGGAGAAGGGAGTCACCTACCACGAAGAACAAGACTATTCCCAGAACCTCCAGGCGAAAATTCGCAACCCCCTCAAGGGAATTCCCCGAGAACAGCTTATGAGCGATGTCGAAGCCTTTGCTCAGCGCAATGGCCTTCAGGAGCACACTCTTCTTCTCAAGAAGGGCGCGCTTATTGCCCAGAACCCTGCTGAACCACATGCCATTGATGGCGAGGAGAAGCTCACTGCACACGAATTGAATATTCTGGAGCGCGAGGTCACTCACAAGTGGCACATGCCCGCAAGACTCTTCCTCACCATCGCAACATGCTCCATCGGTGCCGCTGTCCAGGGTTGGGATCAGACCGGTAGCAACGGAGCTACCATTTTCTGGCCCGATGTCTATGGCATCGGTGACCAGAGCATTACTCGCAACGCTATTCTCGTCGGTCTCATCAATGCTGCTCCTTACATTGGTAGCGCGTGAGTTACACCTTCACATGTATCAATCTAGAGTTTAGCTAATCTGTCCCTAGTTTCATTGGCTGCTGGATCTCTGATCCTATCAACAACCACTTCGGTCGACGTGGTGTCATCTTCTTCGCTTCTCACTTCTGTATCTGGCCCGTCATCGGTTCTGCTTTCTGCCACAGCTGGGGACAACAGCTTGCCTGTCGATTGCTCATGGGAATTGGCATGGGTGCCAAGGCTTCAACGGTCCCTATCTACGCTGCTGAGAACGCCCCGGCTTCCATTCGAGGTGCTTTGGTCATGTCATGGCGTACGTTCTTCGTCCTTCCTTCCATATTGAAATCTTTGTTGTACTAACGCAGTTCAGAAATGTGGACTGCCTTTGGTATTTTGCTCGGAAGTGCCTTTAACCTGGCCGTCTACCACGTAAAGGATATCAACTGGCGTCTGATGCTTGGCGCGCCTTTCCTTCCCGCTGTCCCTCTTCTCTGCCTCATCTACTTGTGCCCCGAATCTCCCCGTTGGTACATGAAGAAGGGTCGTTACGCTGAGGCCTGGAAGTCCCTTGTCGTTCTCCGCAACGACCCCATCCAGGTGGCCCGAGACATCTACTACATCTCCGCCCAGCTGGACATTGAGAATGAGCTCGTTGGCAAGACCAACTACGTCACTCGATTCACTCAGCTCTTCACCGTCCCCCGAATTCGCCGTGCCAACCTGGCTGCCTTCACTGTCATGCTTGCTCAGCAACTGTGCGGTATCAACATCATTGCCTTCTACTCCACCACAGTCTTCGTCAATGCTGGCTTCACCCAGTTCCGAGCCCTGATCGGTTCATTTGGCTTCGGTCTTGTCAACTGGGTCTTTGCTTTCCCCGCTTTCTGGACCATTGATACTGTAAGTTGTTCAATTAAACGACAAAACTTTCTGGTGAAATTATTCTAACAACAGTATAGTTTGGTCGTCGAAGCCTGCTGCTCTTCACCTTCCCCCAGATGTTCTGGACTCTCTTGGCTGCTGGTCTCTGCACTTTGATCTCTTCAGACCACAACGAGCTCAAAACTGGCCTCGTCAGTCTTTTCGTCTTCCTTTTCGGAGCCTTCTACTCTCCTGGTGAAGGCCCCGTTCCTTTCACCTACAGCGCTGAGGTTTATCCCCTGTCTCACCGTGAGACTGGTATGGGCTTCGCCGTCGCTACTTGCTTGTTCTGGGCTGCTGTGCTCAGTACCTCATTCCCCTTCCTGCTCGAGAAACTCCAGACCGTTGGTGCATTCGGCCTCTACGCTGGCTTCAACGTTGTCGCCTTCATCATGATCTTCCTCTGGGTACCCGAGACTATGCAGCGCACTCTCGAGGAGCTCGACTATGTCTTTGCTGTGCCTGTTCGCACTTTCATGAAGTACCAGCTCACCGTCGCCCTGCCCTGGTGGTTCAAGAAGTACGTCTTCTTCCAGTGGAGTGCTACCAAGCGACCGCTGTACGAGTTCGACAATGTCGCTTCTGACCTGCGCCGGGCGTCTATCCACCACGCCCCCACGGCTTCGTCGGATGATGAGAGCAAGCGGGCTATGTAAAGAAAAGGGGAGAAACGAATTTTATGAATTTATTTGGGTAGCAAGGGTGAATATTGGATTTTGAGTATATTAATTGGTTACCACACAAGGGGTAGTGTGATATTGGGAATTGATACCCTTTCCCTTATAGTTATGATACTATATGAGGGAATTATTAAGAATATATGAACTTCCCTATTTCAAAATATTTATTCTTTGAATCTATGAAGTGATGGCAGCGATATCTCTTTATCGCCACCAATGTAAAATCTCCAATGCTGTGTTTTCTGTAAGGACGTTGGCTATACAGCATCCCATGCCCCGAATTTATCTAAGATGAGTCACCTTATATGTATATGTAATAACTATCCCACTTGTTGTGATAACCGCGTCCACCACTGACCATAACAAGACACCGTTCCCATTGTAAGCAATGTGAATACGATGCTTTGAAAGACTATCCTCCCAGAACCAACGAAAATCTTTCTGTTGTTGAGGCAAAGGTTGAGGCTGTGGAAGTTGCATTATTGAGAAACACACCACAATTCCTCCAAAAAGTATTTAGAGGCGGGAATGTTCCTCTGCTTGCATTTGGTCCTCTTCTCTTCATCAACACCATCACCTTGTTTCCAAACCCATGAGTACCCTCTCTTTCACAGAGCATCGCCAGAGATTTGAAGAAGCCCCTTCATCTTTCTTTTTAGACACAGTCGATATACATACATCAGGAGAACCCATATACTGCAACCGCACGCTGGAGGACGCAGAAAAAGAGAAGAAAATTCTGGTCGGCACTGTTTTTTTTTTATTCCAAGGGGTGTTCTTAAGCGCAAGGAAGTTCCAGCAAATATATCCCAATTTATGATAAAATTTTATCTTCCCAGTCACTGTTGCCTTCTAAACATGACTTAAAGGAGTTGAACATTAGTCGTCATCGCTGATAACTATGCTCGTACCTCCTCAATCTGTTGTACCAGTGTCTCCAGATTTCCGTCCCATTCTGTCGCCGGCTATTGCTGGTGAATTGTCGAAAGGATGTGTCTGCCACTACATTAGTACCTAGGTACATCTGAGTACAGTAGTCTTCCACCTCGTCACGCAATTTAGTGATCTCGTCGAGGACCAGCGTGATGTGCCTTGGCAGGGCGTAGGACAACGGGAGACGAAGATTGAGCTGTATAGCCGTCGGTGCAAGTCATGAAGACTTCATGTTGAAGGTTGCTATCCAGGTACGCTGTTTCAACGTCCATTTGGTAAAGATAACTCAGTAGCTTTACCTGTCATACATATGGCGTGAAGGTACGGAAAGGCGCCGCTGGACTCAGCCAAGGGTCGGCATCGCGGTTCTAGAACCTCGGAAGAAAGGCATACAGTGGCATATTGTCGCATGAGAAGACGTCTCAGCCTCATAGGCCAGTCGAAATCATTCAGCGGTACGGACTCTTGGCTACCCGAAGCATTTTCCTTCAAGTTTAAATACTATATATATCCGTCTAATATACTAGTATAGTTATGGCTATATAATATGGGTTCCTATAAATATATTTCTCTAGTATCTGCTACTATAAATATATCTATCTAATATCTTCTACTCTAGCTATATTCCTCTAGTATCTGCTACTACAAATCTATTCTGACTTGTTATTATTCTTAACTCTTGTTGATATCCTACTTTGATCGAATACGACAGGATGAGTGCAACTGCAAGCGCTCCTGCCGTCGCCGCCGAGTCGCCATGGCAGAGGCGCCAATGGAAAGAGCTGTCGTCTCCTCTTCTCATAGGTACGGATGGCGTCGTCATCTACTACTTTCTCCCGCGACTCGTGGCCACCAGACTTCCCTCAACAGGTTCCTTTTCGTGATGTCCGGGCCAAAATGCCCTGCTTTATCATGCGCCGCCTCCAGGGCAGGTCGGACCCTCTGAGCCTCCGTCCAATACAGCCATTGCCAGTTGCGTTGGGGAACATTCCTGATTAACGGGGTTGCTCTTCATCGTTGGATTGAGAGTGGTTGAGTTAAATTGCGCGTCATCGAAAGATGCAATTGCAGCACCACCACCGTCCTTCCACCTCCAGGTTGCTCTCGTTGGTCCTTCAAAGCGTGAAGCGTATGCCGCCCACATTGCGGCCATTTCTCTCTTCTAATCTCTTCCGAGGAACGCTGGGTTTATACCCTCCACTTGCTCTAATTGTGCTTCAGCTCCTTTTCACGCATTTGTCTCTCTCTCTCCGATCTAGCGTGATGTCTATTGTTTCGTCTACCGAGTTGATTACTCGGTCCAAGTCCTAGGTCTCCCAGGTCTCAACAGTCGGCTGAGGGGTTGACGCCGGCGCTGGTTGTCTACAGACAGCTAATCAACGTCTACCCAATGGTGATGGATGCTGTATGTTTCGGAATAAAATCTCTATCCATCTACCGTGGTATTCCTACTAATCTGAATTTCCAGAAAGGCCATGCAATCATTATGTCCGGTGAAACCTTTTGTCGGTGGTGAGATGACCAAAATCATCTCTGTTTCCCAGGATTAATTTGGAATTGTGGATGAGCGCGTACTGATTTGATCTAAGAGCCTCTTTTTTCCAATCCGTCCACCCTCCGACGCCATTACGACAAGGGCCATGAAATGGAAACACGCGTCCGAGAATCGGGCAGCAATAGTGTTGCCTATCAACACATGCTGGATCGTAAGCAACCTTCTCGCCTTTTCTGAGGCCGGTTTATCCTTTCTCGCATATTCGCTCAATGCCAAGGCCGGTTCCATCGCCACCAGCCTCTCTTTTTCCATGACCTTGGAATAAATTAACAATAAAGTGCTCGCCCGCACTTGGGCTTGCTTGTCTGGTCCAGAAAGCAAGAATCCTGTTTTCAACAAGAAATCCGACAGCATAGAGACTGGAGCTTTGCCATCATATTCAATCATGCCAATATTTAGTTTCGTCCTCGTTTATTAGCGGCAATATAAGCGTCAATTCATTTCTTCAAATAGCTGCCTGTTAATTCCCGCGGTCGTTGGGGTGTATATGCAATCGTTCTTAAGAGACCCGATTGCATCCCGCACCTCTATATTGGCGCAGGCTCTCATGCTGAACAGGACATTTGAGCTCGGCTAAGACAATACGACAATAAAACAAACTTTTCAACGCTTATTCGCGAGCACATTGCCGATAAATACGAAATTACGTATCAAGGAATACTCTTATGGCTACCTAGTACCCATTCTCTCTGCCGGCGAAGCTCCTCAGCTATCGAATCTTGTTATCGCTTTGGAGGCAACAATTTCTTTCTTTTTCTGTGCAATGCAGTCCAGAAAGAAGGATTATAGCTTAGTTTCCTACTGCCCTTGGCCGCGAGATCATTCACCTACCCTGGACTCTGTATACATAACGCACTTTTTGAGAATATTCTAGGCGACCTTGAGCTGTTGCGAGAAGAGCTGAAGATTGTGGCTACTGTTAGAAAGGATAGGGTAGGCACCAGCGCCAGCGCTGACTGCTACGAGAAGCCCAGAAAAGGGCACAAGAGCAAAACCGCGAGGGCCAAGTCAAGCAGGCAATACGACAGCGACTGAAGTGACGATAGTCACTGGAGGGCAAGGAAAAGCAAGAAAAGCAAGTGCAGCGATTGCGGAAGATTATGAGGCTGCCAGGGGCCGGAGAAAAAAGACGAGAACACTTTCGTGAGTGGCTGAGGAGACCAGGAGTCCGCCGGAGAATAAACCAGCGACGACGTGAGCGGTACGAATTAGAGCCTGGATTGAATATGGACATGCGAAACCGAGCTCGCCAGTACCAAAAGCAAAAGTTCAGAGAGAGGGAAAATAAACGGGGTGCTGAAAAACATAAAGGAATACGGAGCTGGACAACACGATTTCTCTACATTAGCTGAGAGAGCAAAGTACAGCTGTGTTATCTTGTGACCTCTATGATTATTCAATCAACATCAAAGGGAGTCTCAAAGAGCATAAAAAAGCAAGGTTCACTTGGCAAAGGAGGCCAAAGTCAGGCGCAATGCTAATGGCAATGCCGAGATCGACATCAACACTGAAGCCAATGGTAGCACAGAGGCTGCTATTATGTGCAAATCCTCTTGCAATTTCTGTGACTATTCGACCAACCCCAAAAGGAATTTCGACAGCCATAACAAAACCAAGGCTCACCTAGCAAAAGAAGCCAACGCTAACGGCAGTGCCAATGGTGAAACAGAGGCCGCTGTTGTGTTCAAATATTCTTGCAGCCTCTGTGACTTTTCGACCAACTTCAAAAAGAAGTTCGGACGCCATAAGGCAACCCAGGCCCACCGAGCAAGAGAGGCCGAGGCCAGGCTCAATACCGCCATTGTGGATAAATACCGTTGCAGTCTCTGTGACTATTCGGCTGACCGAGAGGAGATCTTAGACTCAGTGACGTCAAGAGTCCCAATAATATGGCCAGCTTTCTCGTTTACTTTTAATTTATGTCACTCTTCCTAACAGAACCTGTTCTTGTAACTAGGAAATATTACCAGATACTAGATAGATATAGCTATGGTAGCAGATACTAGAGAAATCTAACTATACTAGTAGATTTTACATAGATGCAGCTATAGTAGCAGATACTAGAGAACTATAGCTATAATAGAAGATGCTAGATAAATATAGCTGTAGTAGCAGATATTACCTGAGAAATATGCATGTGTGGATACACTAGCAGGTATAGGTGAAATGTCAAGGCATCTCTGAAGAATCCCTTATTTGTTGGCTGCTGGCTAAGGCATGGTTGATAAAAATATGAAGTACTCCAGCCTCCCAGGAATAGCTGGCTGAGACATTGTAAGTCCTCGCTGAGAACGATGTGAGGAAGCTTCAATTGTAGTAAGCCGTAGGAGCAAGACCACGTGGAGAGGCTAGTTAAATTGTCTAGCCGAGGCTGGCCAATGTTCGTATTATCATGTGATAAATATAATACTTGCCAAGAATCGGAACAATTTATGATAATGTAAAGACACTTCCATATGGAAAAGAGAGATCATATCTCAGCTAAACT